TTTCCCTCTGTCTCTCTCTTTCTTTCTCTCCCCTCCCTCGGTCGCCGCTTCAACTCCCTACCTGCCCGTTTTAGCCTCCTCGATGCGCGTTGCCCCTGCCGGAGGATGGCAGGTTAAGAGGCAGGCAGGTAGAGAGAGGCCCCATTGATTAGCGATGGAAACAACATGCGGCTGGTGTCGATTGCTTGTCAACTTTTTCAGACCCCCTCCATTAAATGTTAGCGTGTTACATATGCATGAAATTGAGTGACTCTTTCCACGATCACGTGTGTAATCGTATTCGCACTTGTTGCGAAATTAATGCCAGATATTAGCCATTGAACTTAAAACTTGTCGCGGGATGATCAAACGTAAAGCTGACGTGTACCGCAGAACGAGTCGAAATTTGCTGTCGTCGTTTTACGTGCCCTTTTGCTTCCGACCTTTCCCTCCGACACGTGTACTGGTCAAATTAGAATATTCAAATTGGCGTACGAGGTTTCGAAACCGATAGATAAGTATCAAGTCGGTCCCATCACTACCGCTAATGCAAGCAGACCCATGGCGAGCGATTCCTCTTCTGGCCACAACTAGCGCCATCTCCGTCCCATTACTACCTTTTCTCTCGTTCTTCTTCGCTCTGAGTATCGGTTTTTCCTTGTTCAGCTTGAAACGATCCCCCAATACGATTTTCTGCCGACGAGGCCTCCAACGGGGACCGTGCCCCCTCCACCTACGCGCTTATATAGATACTCCTCGACTCGCTTAACCCGATGCCAGGTGCCTCTATAGGGTGTACCGATTAACGAGCGATTCCCGAGATCAAAGGGTTCGTCCGATTTGTGCTTCCAGGGTAATCTTATCCGTGTCAAGTCCATTTTTCTCGCACCTAACAAGGAAGAACATTTAAGTCGAGATTAATTCGCGTTGCTTTTACATAATTCCATTTTAAAATGACACTTAACTTGTACGATAAATATAAATTCTCCCGATACGAAAATCATGGTGTTTGGTCTTTCGAAATGCAATTTTGATTCTTCTTTTTTACCAATAGCAGATCGGGATGGAAAATCACGGGTTTAGAGAATTCCGTGCTCACTGAGGCGCTCGCGTGCAGATAAGGATGCGTGAACCAAGGCGGTGCGTTCGTGCATGTTCGATGCAATTAACCGTCGCAGAGAAACGCCGACCTGTGTGGTCTTATTAACCAAGAGTCGAAGAAGATTCTGCAAAGGTGAATGCGTGAGTGTATATAATGGCGAGCATGCAATCCCTCAAGTAATAATATCATCCGATTTTCATAATCCGATTATCCGATCAGATTCGTTTGCCAATCTGCGTCTGAAAATACCAATTATGGTGTTATCCACGTGGAACGAATGTTCAAACTGATAAAATCGATGCAGCAGCATCTGAGATTTTTCTTCATAGTCCCATTTATCAGAATACGAATCTGAGTTCGGAGGAACAGCAGATATTTGATAGAAGTTGGCGATTTAATGGTTGTCAGAGGGGTTTGTCTAACTCAAAGCAATTTCATCGTCCTGTCATACGGCATAGCATCATCCATAATTCATGGATGCCATAAACATTACGCGAGCATCGTAAAAAAAGCGTATTTATAGAAAGCTCCCCCAGAGGCTTTTACGATATCTTGCTTCACGAAGGACGAATTCATATTCATCCGCGTCACACGATCATTTCGTTCAGGGCCGTTCAAGTTTCATCGATACTAATGACTCCATTTCTTCTCCACTGTGAGTCTCCGTCGCGTGCACGTGCCACGTGGCTAGACGGTTTCCAATTTTTCCGGCATCGACGTTCCCCGTCTAAACGACGACAGTAAGAACCTGTTGCATAACCGCCAGATCGATCCTCGTACAACCACGGTCAATTTCTTGTCGATTTCTTGCCAATAACAACGATAAGCTGCAACGGTCAACGATACGTGATGGTCTGAAAGAATTATCTGACTCGTTTCGGCCTTACCCTACAAGTTCACGGTTAGCTCGGTCGTAAAGATGGCTGGAAATCGCTGGACCACCGAAACCGTGACCCATAAAGATCACTGTGTCCGCAAAATAAAGGACCAAGATCTTCTTCATCCTCCGACAGTGTCTGCAATATAAAATTTTACAAAGTTACGACGAGAAAAATTCGAGAAAATTAAAAAAAGAAGAGGTGCCATTAAAACGTTGCCAAAATTATGCCAATGTTGTAGCTTCCTTGATATAATGATTTATGGTGATCCGCGTTAAATTGAGGAACAAACGGCTAACAATGATAGTCACCGAGGTATCATCCTCGATTTTGCCGCGATATATGACCACGATTGGGACTTTCACTGCCATTTGAGCGTAGATCGGCTACTCGAGTCTCTGAAGCAGAGGGATAAGTGTGCTATTTTATTTTCACCCGTGCGCGCCGCGGGGTGTATCATTGCCGATACGTGATATATTTCGTTTTGCACGGTGCGTATATGGAACTATGCTGCGGTTTGCTATCAGAGAACGCGACGGCCTATAATTTGAAACCGTAAAGGTGTGCATTTCGAACATCGACTCGCACGATTTGTCATTACCACGCTTGGCCCAGCACTATCGATCTTCTGAGAAACGATACACCGAAAAACATCCACGTACAAATTGGATATTTCTTCATTCCGCAGGATGTTTTAATTTCACAGGATGTAGCTACGCTGAACTCCGCAAATTTTCCCCTTTTTCGATTATTAACCAACGGATGTATTTATTCAGTTCGTGAGATGGGCGAGGATAGCATCGTTAATGGCGGTTTGCATTAACTGGGCACGCGCGGATTAGAGTCAATCGGCGAATATAAATGAAAGGCGAAGCTAAAACTAAACCTGGCTATTTATCGTTATTATTTATCCAGGTCAGTTAATATGTGAGACGATTCGCAAGGACAGTTTGTATACGGGCCAACGATAAATTGGTCGAAACAGAAGGGGCCATTTTCGAATTACGCGAGCGACTCGGTCGATAAAGTGGAAGGAAAAATTTCCTGTTGATTACCATCGCAGTTCCTACGGGAAGCGTACGAGAAGCATAATAAAACGAAGATCGCGTTACAATCGATAGTTACAACTTCTGAATCACGAACGACGAATCTAATCGCCATCGTCATCAACTAACACCCATCAAACGCCTTGACTTCGAAGTCACAATCATTCAGCCACGCGAGCAGTGGTAGAGGTTAATTAAAATGAAAATCTGCGATGTTTACTCGTGCCGGGTTACTCAATACGCGAGTATCGATTTGCACAGGCGATCGAGCGTATCCGATCGCGCGATGACGAAAACGCTGCGGGAGTGGAGGAACGGAGAAATTAGAGCTAGATCTTCGGCCGTATTATTTATTCGGGTCACCCGATATAGGAGACCATCCACAAAGGCGAGTCGCGGCGAGCGTGTACACCTCCGCTGCCACGAATGCTAACCAGATGCGCTAAGTATCGTTGGCGAACTCGTGGAGGACTGAAGCACTCGAGCGTTTGCAGGTAAGATCGCTCGAAGGTGTATCGAGGCTATGGAAAAAGCGTGTTCTCCTTCCTCGGTGAAGACTGAAAGTAGTTAGGCATGTTTTATTAAGGGAAATTTCGAAGAAAAGTGTGTAATGCATGATTCGAAAGAAAAGTTGGTTATTATGCTTTCATTGAGTTATAAAATTCAATTTGATTAATCCGTGTAGCATGAGATACTTAACTAAGTGGATCATGCCAATGGAGGGATGATTGGTAGGGTTAGAACGATTGAGCACGTAGATGAAAGATGTAAGATGCGGAATGCTGATGTAAATAATTCATGATGCGCTGAGATGATAGCGTAACGCCATCTGGTAAACGGTGAAAAGAATTAGTGCCTTATTAGAATGATAATCGTTACTTTCTACCGTGTCTTTCGTGTAACAGACTACATATAATGAACCATTAAACAGTGGGTAATTGTAAATATTACTGAATTCTTCATGCGAGAAAATCGAGAAACCTTGATACCCGTAATCTGAAAAATTTTTTAGGTTAATTAAGAATAAATTGTAGTAACAGCGTGCATCCAACAACTTGCACAAAAAGTAGGAAATGATCTTTAGTAGTCTGTGAAAATAAATATAAATCAAGCTTTGTACCCTGACCGCACTGTAAGTCATGGATAGTTTGCACCTTCGTGAACGATTAGGTGAAACAAGATCCTAATGAATGGTATGCGTGTTCTCTCCGGTTCGATGGAATGCGAAACACGTTTTCCGAGCCAAATCCAACGGGACTGACGTCGATCGCTCCTTGGAGAAACGGAAAACGAAAAGGAAGAAGATCCACTGAAAAACAGTTTCCAAGTTTTGCTCGTCGACGCGGAAACAACGAGACAATTCACTTAGACCGTACGAGACCGAGGTCTATTGCTTGTACGGTTACCTCGTTAACTAGTAGGTAAAAAAATTTTTCTGTACCATTGTTTCGTAGATTTTTCACTCCGTCAATTTCAGCGCTTTGGTAATTTAGACAGTTTTCTTTTTCTCGGACTCGTGTGTGCCTCTGGACTTGTATACATCGATGTTCTCGTGCTTAGACATTTTAGAATTTCGATAATTTCGTACGTTAACATGCTTTCGATAACCTGTAACACATACCATAATCGCCAGTTAAACGACAATATCTGGTTGACGCCATTATATTCGTACCGTTACATTATGCGACCTATTTACCGCACTAATAAAAGTATAATAAAATCGTGACTCTGATTCCATGATATCGACGTCTTCTTCGATGGATCACGTAAATTGACCTGTACAGTTACTTCTTCCTGCAAACTACGAAACTACCGATTCGGGTACACGGAACGACAATAATTTTTTGTTTAATAAAATACACAGCACGAGAGTATTATTCTCGGTCGTCGAAGGAAGTTCAATCTCATCAAAGTAACGGCTTACGACGATTACGCCAGCAATACGCTCTGAAACTCATGGAAACAAGCTTGCATAATTTCACGTAACGTCCCCTGTCGTCTAATCGCAGGGTAATGTCCCGGGAAAAGATAGGGAAAACAGGAAAAGGACACATGTGCCCACCGAGTCACGGTAGAACGCGACTGAGAAAGTAAACGGTTCCGATAGAAGGTAAAATCAACCGTGAAAATAGACACGCATCGTCTCAGGGAAAATCCGCGATTGGTCGGATGCCTTATCCCCTCCACCGAGTTTCCATAAAAACGAAGTTACATGTTCGTAGTTTACACTTCCTCGAATCTTCATCAGAAGTTCATGGAGCATTACTAAGCGCGGTAACAGTTTGAAATTTAAAAGGCTGAAAACCATTCATTGATATATGAAACCACCTCCGATTGCTGCGGAAACGAATTTGATTTTTATCTCCACTATCTTGAATAATTCTGAACGTCATAATATTTTATCGTTGTTAAATTAATACGATGGAATTCCGTGTTTCTCCCGCCTTTTTTCTCTTTCGATTCGGAGAGAGCATGATCTATGTCGGTACGAGTATCAACTCGAGATCCGAGAGTTGTATGATTCCTTTCACGTGATTAAATGTCGAGGGAATTTTTATAACAGTACCGTGAAGAGGATGTAGAAAGTCGCAATGTGACGTAATATTAAAACGTGGCGTTAATGCCTTACGAGATTCCCGCTGTTTTGAGGAAGTAACAAAATAAGATGAGGATATCACGTGTACCGGTATCCTTGTAGAGCCATGTGACCAAATATCGATCGTTCATGACACAAAATTGTCAACAATTACTTTAAACTTTGCGTTATATCCATCTAGAACAAATAAGTCATTAAAGAATCACTAATTCAATTATAATTGATTCGTTTGCAACATGCAATTAATTCAATTTTGTATCATGTTCAATTTCTGTAAAACTATTACCCTTTTATCGCGAACCCTAAAAAATACGATGGTAGAAGACCATCAGCCGGTAACTATATTTATCGGCATAGCAAATTAATATGATGTACTCGAGCGCGTGATTTATGCAAGGCAAACGTGTAAACACGTGTGTAGGGTACAATTCAACGGCAATATCGTGTGTCTACCATCAGCGAATGGGATGAGAAAAATCGATACCTCGTAAAAGGAGTATTCAGATTCGATCGCAGCCATGACATTTCGCCAATCACACGAGGTCGTGTGAGTTGATTTACATTATAGCCGCTGCTCATGTCGGTAGTTCCTGATTCTTACTTTCTCTCCTGAACAGAATATTAAAAACGTAAAGAAGATTTGTATATGTAAATGGAATTTCGTATTGCAGTTGTAGATACAATGCTACGAGAAATTATTCTCCAAGAAAATAGAAGAGAACTTTGACGGCAGCACAATATAAAGATTCACAATATGAATATTATTACAAAGATCTTTCTAAGATTGTTGTCAAAATTGTAAATGATATTCTATATTTTTATTACATTGCAACTAACTGTATTAATTACATTTATTAGAAAAAAGTAAAGAAAATGAACAAATAATATCTGATAAATATTAAATAAACGATATATTTATATTGACATTTAACATTTCTTTGATTGAAAAACTTCACACCAAACAAAGACTTTTCGTTTATGACTACAGAGGGCGGGACGATTCAATAGTTGTACCGCCATCTGTTGTGAATTATCGTTTCTCAATATGAAATAGAATTTTGAATTACAAAAATGGAGTATAGTCCCCAACCGTTATGATCGCGATAGTACTGCAACGAATCGTGTGCTACTTACCTTTAAATATACTGTTTTCATAATGAACAGCTACGCAAGAACAGTGTTATTTAACCAAAGAACATTACATTCTCAATAAAATTGTGATTATTTGTGTTATTTTATTCACGCAAGTTATAAATTGCTAAAATTTTGTAGAGTTGTGTTCATACAATGTACACACAATAGAAGTTCAATGCATTGTCGATTAAATTACTTTTGATCCGTTTCTGTATCGTTATATATTGGTTACGATTCTTCCAATTAGTCTAGTCAATAAAATGAATATATTAATAGCTATAGAATAACAAATTCTTTGACCAAATGGTCCAACAACGAACAACAAACGTATGATAAAAATATCGTAGATTATTTAGTCACAAATGGATTTTGAGAACAAAGAAAAAGAATTTGAAGATCGTTACAAAAAAATTTGTGCGAGACATAGGCGATCTTCTAACTATGAAACTCAAGATGAAGAGAAAACGAGAAAGGTGGAAATATCCATGAAAGAGAAGACAGAATTGGAAAAGGAATTAAGAACAGCAAAATGTGATTTGGATATTATTCGGAAAAGTTTGGGTAAATTTCCTAATGAATATATTTTATCAATTACATGTATATATTTCTTAAGTCTAATGTATTCTGCATTTATAGGTGATGATAGAAGTACAAATACATCAGAATCAAATAATCATTCCAAAGAAGTTCAAAAAGATTGCTCTTCTATTTTTGAATTTAAGTTTCATAAACGTACTTCTTCTCAGTTGGATAAATTTTCTAAGGAAAAAAGTGAATTAGAGGCACAGTTGGATATTAAAAAGAAAGAAATTCAAGAGAAACAAAAGACAATATTTGAATTACAAGATAAAGTCAGTCAGGTGATACAATTAGAAGCTCAGCTTCTAGAAAAAAACAAGAGATTAGAAGCATTTAATAAAGAAAGAGATATAATTGAAAGAGAATTAGTTGCAACAAGGTCAGAATTAACTGGATTAAAAAGAACATTAGGTAAACTAATTTGTGGCTTATATATAAAAATTTTAAGAAACATGTAAATGCTAATTAATCGTTTTTCTTTTTTGTAATTCTTTATTACTAAACATTTTTATCATTTTAACTTCTTTGTAATTTAGTGTTATTAAATATAGATACTACTACTATATTAATCAGTATAGAAACCATGGATCTTTTTAATTGGCTCATGGTCATAATTATATTATAAACTTGTTATATAAGTATTTATAAATTTCTAGTACTTAATTTAGAAATTTTTTAATTCTGTCAATCATGGCTACCATTCCATATTTAAGTGTAATAGTAATTATATTTGGGAAAATCTAACATATTGTATATATTTAACTATATATAATAACTGTCTTATAATGTTAGAGTTGGAACGACAAGAAAGGAGAGATTTAGAAACCAAGGCTCTAAGTTTAATTAAAGATGCTAAACGTAAATGGGAAAATGCAGAGAAAGAAAAAATTGCACAGTTGAATAAACATATTGAAGCACAAACTGTAAGAATTACAGAATTGTGTACCAGTAACAATGAGATGAGCTCAAGATTACAAAGAACAGAATGTGAACTTGAAACATCAAATGCAGAATTACATAAACTTAGAATTTTTCAGGTTAGTAACATATATGTACATCTATTTATATGTCAGTAAAACATAGTTTAAAAACATTTTAGTAGTACGGTTGTAACTGTAATAATTTAATTATGTATTATCAGAAGAAATTTAAATAATTGTTATTTTATTAGATGCAATATAAAGAATCACTAGCAAAAACAAGAGAACTTAGTCGACAAAGTGTTCAAGGTGTTGAAACTAAGCTAGAAGAAATAGCTACACGTGCACATAATCAATTAGCTGAACTTAGAGCAAAATTGGATTTAGAAGTAACGAGAAATACAGATTTAGAAACTAAATTAAGAAATGAACAAGATTCCAATCACTGCCGCCAATCAAGACTGAATGTTGCTTTAGAATTAGCTCAAAATGAACTAAAAGACTGTCAGGAACAGTTACGCAGCATACATGCTACAATACCAGCCAGAGATACAGAAATAGAAGCTTTAAAAAAACAATTACAAGAAAGATCAAAACAATTAGATAATGCTATGGCATCAGAGCAGATAGTTTCTACAATGCAAGAACAGTTAGAAATGTCAAAGCTTGAAAATGAACAACTAAAACAAGAATTGCAGGTATGTAATTAATAGTTGTTTTAATGTAATTATCAAACTACAATCTTGTATAAATCTTACATAAATACAATCAATCAATCTTGTATATGATTTTATCCTAATTTATATAAATATTGTTCAAGATATTGAAGTCTGACTTAAGTGAAACTATGATGAACTTGGAACAAAGTGAAGCTCTTGCTCTAAACTTAGAGCAAGCAGCACAAGATAAAGTTACATTACAAAAGAGATTACAAGATTCTCTCGAAAAAGAAGGTATGTTTTTATAATAATATATGTAAAATAATGTCTAATGAAACATCCTATTTATTTGTAGAAGAACATTTGCGTAAAGTTGGTAATTTAGAAGAATTATTGCGACGTTTGGAACAGAGTGTTACTAAACTAGAAGTGGAGAATGCTACTCTTAAAATGGAAAACATACATCCAAGCACAAGTATGAAGTCTAACAGGGATATAATAAAAACAGATGTGCATTTAAAAGAGCAAACTGAGAAATTAGAACAAGAGCTTCAAACCATGAAAGAAAACTTTAATGCAGAACGTCAGATTACAAAGCAAACACAGATTAGTTTATGGAAGAAAGAAAAAGAACTGTCAGAGGCAAATTTGGATAAACGAATTGCAACAAGAGAAGCAAAAAAGGCAGATGAAAAAGTTAAAACGTTACAAGAGGAAAAGCAAAAATTGGCAGAAAAATTAGATCAGAAAATAAAAGAAGAAGAAGAAAAATCTAGAAAGCTGCTTAAAGAATTAGACAGTGCAAAAGCATCATTACATGATATTACGAAAGAATCTTCTAGAAATAAAATGCAAGCTGATTCAGCTCAAAGAGCTTTAACTCAAAGTAACCATCAAATAGAAGAACTTCAATCTTCGAGTGCTTCATTACGTAGAGAACTAGATGCGGTGCGAAAACAAGCGCGAGTAAGTCAAGATCGAGTCGATAGTTTGAATACTGAAAATAAGCGTCTGGCGCAGATCATTGCAAAATATAATGAAGAGAAAAATGAATTGGAATCTAAGATAGAAAAATTAGAACAAGAAATCAAAGGCTATGAATTAAACACTGAACTTCTGAAAGAAACGTGTACAGTACTTGAAGAACAACTTACAGATTACGAAAGACTAACAAGCGATCATGAAACTCGAGAAAACATACTAATTCAAGATAAAATGAAGTTACAAAGAGATTTAGAAGCAACTGAGGCAAAACTTCGCCAAATATGTACTGCTCGAAATGAAGAAAGCTCATTAAGATTGACAGCAGAACGGAATATTGAGAGGCTTGAATCGGAAATAGGTGATATAGAGAGCGAAAGGAGTGGTCTAATTGCTCAAAGGGACCAATATAAAAAACTTGTACAAGAATTAAGCGCACAAGTTGAAGATTTAACAAGTAAATGCGGGGAATTGGAATGTGATATTTCGGAAATGAAACGAGCTTTAGAAATTACTAAAGCTGAAACAAGGGTCGTTAAAGAAGAAAGTAGTCAACATTTAACAAGAGTTCACGAACTGAAAGAGGCAAATTTCGTACTGATGAATGATTTACAGAATAGTATAGATCAAGGTCAGGAACTTAGGATGAGAATCACAGAATTGGAAAGTATTTTAGAAGAAATGCGACAATTCTATCAAGAAAGAGAAGTAAAAGCTGAAAGCACTAGGCAACAACAAACAAAGTTGATAGATTACTTGCAGTTTAAATTAGAAGAGTGCAGTAAAAAGAAAAAGACAGTATGTGATAAAATACTCGGTAGTAAACAAAAAGAGAATATTCCTCCTAGTGGTACTGGAATGCCAGTTGGATATCGTGAATTGGAAAACCAATTGTCGAAAGAACGCGCCAAAGTTAAAACGTTAACTGATCAATTATTAGCACTGAAAGCTATGCACGCTTCGACCTCTGCACCCTCGTCTCCCACAGCACCGGATATCAGAAACACAAACTATATTACGGAACCATCAACAACCTCATTATCTAAACGTTTATCGCCGCAAAGAATCGGACATCACATTCCACATCGATTCGAGGTCGGTTTACCAATGCGAGCCGGGAAGTGCTCTGCGTGTTTAGATTCTATTCAATTTGGAAAACGTGCGGCCATTTGTAGCGAATGTCAAGTAATGACACTCCTGCTACTTGTGGTTTACCTGGAGGGTTTGCTAAGCAATTTGGCAAAAATTGGAGGAACAGTGACGAAAGTTTATCATCATTATCTGGAAGCGTTCAAACGTTAGCTATAGATCAACCAGATAAAGCAGACACGGTAGGATATGAATATCTCAGTGATATCATTTTATATTTTATAATAATTTATGATTATTATTGACAACAGGACGTATGTGATATACGAAATAAGAACAATAATGTATCGATGGAAAATTGGGTGAAAATCCCAGATCGTTCGAAAATTTGTTGGGAAAGAAAATATCTTAGATTAGAAGGAACATGCTTATGTACTTACGAGCATCAGCCATCCCCTGGAATGGCACCGATAAATCGTCTAGATTTGCTTGAGAAAGATGGATTTGTTATATTAGATACTGTACACAACCCAGATGTAATAGGAACAGCAAAGTCAGATATACCATTTATCTTCAGAATAGAATCCAATTCATCAACCACTTGTTGGCCGACATCACGTTTGGATGTTATGGCTTTGAATCAGACTGATAAGAAAAATTGGTTGAAGACTTTGAAGTTTGTTACTAGTCAAAATAATTCAAGTAATGTTCATAAAACTAAAAAATATCAAACAATATTAAGATTAGAAAAGAATCAAGTAAGCAACTTTATTTATTCCTAAATAATTGTATTTATGATTTATTTATAATATGTGATTACCTTTTAGTTGGATTTAAATTGTGCCATAAATTTGGCTGAAGAAAATGTACTTCTACTGGGTGCTGAAGAAGGGTTGTTTTCATACTGTGGTGCTAAATCACGAATACTTACTATGATTCGTGGAGTGAAGAGGGTACACCAGTTAACTTTACATTCCCATTTGGGAATAGCCTTAATGATAGCTGGTGAAAATAGGCAATTAGTATCTTGTAGTTTAAGACAATTAAAGAGTAACGCACTGGCCGCTGAATGCTCAAGGCCAGCAATAAATACAAAAGCAGTTTTAACTGGCACTGATAGTTGTCATTTATACCAATTACAAGGAGATATGCTTTGTGCAGCAACAGCATCTCACGTAATGTAGGCTTTTTTCAATATAATTTATTTTTATCTGATTTTCAATGTCATATTTAGTGGGCATTTTTTATATCACAAATATAGATTACTTAAATGGTATGTTGAAGAAAATTCTGGAGAATTTATTGGGGTCCGTGAACTTGAAACATCTGAGCCATGCAGTTGTGCCATATTTGCTAAAAATATTCTCATAGTAGGGTGTAATAAATTTTTCCAGATCGACCTTAAGAATTATTGTATTAATGGTAAGTAAGAAAGTGCATTACTTAATGAATCAAATAATTTGAGATAATTAATACTTGATTTATGTTATGTTATAGATTTTCCCGAAGAAGACGATAGTTCGGTCAAAGCTGCACTATCTGGGGTAGCTAAATTAGGTATTTTCCCAGTTTGTGTTTTAAATGTTTCTCTTGTACCTGGAAAAGTTGAGCTTTTGCTTTGCTATAATGAATTTGGAATGTTTGTGAATGAAAATGGCCAAAGAACTCGAAACGTTGATCCAACATGGAATCATTTACCTTTTGCTTTCGGTAAAAAACATTTTTAACATTAATAACGTATAACAATCTTATGTATCGAATAAATAAAATTATTTATATTTTTACAGCATTCCGAAAACCATATTTGTTTGTCATTCATTTTTCGTCTGTGGAAATTGTAAAACTTGATAAAGATGCGTATACTTTGTCAACAAAGAATCCGGAACGAATCTTAATCGAATTATCTAGTCCTCGCTACTTAGGAGTAGCTGGATCAAAAGGCATTTATGTAGCAACAGTGAACTCCTTCTTGGAATTATTAAAAATCGAAGGTTCTTCCAATATACCAGCAGTAAACGGCAGTTTTACAAGTTTGGATACTTTGTATGTTTCCAATACCTTGTACATAATTTACAATTATTAACTAATACAAATATAATGTATTAATTTATACTGATTTATTTTACAGAGATCAAGATGATGAAAGCAGTTCAGAGTTCAGCTTTACATCGAGCTTAATGGAAGTTTTAGATGGTCAAGGGAAAAAAGTACATTTTACCAGTGTTCCCAAACATTAAAATACTTTAATATGAGAATTGTTTTATTTTTTATTTAATTATGGGAAAAGCAAAAGAATTGAATTCAAGACTGTAAACAATTAGTAATCATTAAGGGAAGTAAATCACGACTAATATGTTGCAAGTTGTGTTTATACACTTAATTTAAATGATACATTCTTGTCAATGAGCAACCATAAAAAACATAATAAGCTAATGTACTCGAATTCTTTAGTTGAACAAAAAAGTTCATTTTGTATTTATTTTGTGTTTAATTTTCTTATAATTAAACAGTTGCATAAAGTCAGATCTCAAATGAAGAAGGTTTTGATTGCATAGTATTAGTTAACCAAATTTACGATATTTATATGTATCACAAAAGTAATGCTTTACTTTCCACAAGCTTCAGCTGCCTTTAGCTTTTACAAAGAGATCTGAGATTCACACTTACGATTAGTACTGGCGACTATGCATAGACTTAAGAATTATATTGACTATAATATTATTATTAAAGAAATGCGATTATTATGACAATAATATATTTTCGAATTTCTATATTGATAAAAAATCTTTGTAATTTTGTAGTTTAAAATAAAATACTATTATTAACAAAATAAAAATTGATATAAAAAACATGTTTAATGACGTCAAAAATGTATTTTATTTAAATTTAAATAATAACAAAAAAAATTTAATCCAAATAATTATTTTCATTAATTATTCAAACGGCTCGAATTGCTATTACTGAAACATACTTTTTAAAACAATATGTAGTCACATCTACATTACAAATACATCTTTTTTTTCAATGCTAATATTTTCTCTGGCAGGAAATGTGCCTAACCGAATTTCCTTTACATAAACAGCAAAAACGATAGAACTATCAAACTATTCCATGATAATTTTTTTTTAACAATCGTCTACAATCTATTATGTCTTAAACTTGAATTTTACGTAGAAATTTAAACGTATCTTTGCAATTAGGGGCATAAACAGGGCACATATTTATGTAGAGTAATGCGACATCCGGCCACCCTTGACATTTATAACATCGGAACAACGAATATTCAATGAGACTAGTGAATACAGTTCAAAAGCTCATTGTGACGCAATGATTGACAGAATGATTTAATTCCAAACTCTAGTAAAACGATACTTATTATTTGTTAGATTCGAGGTGTCGTTAACCTGATTTTAGCATTCTTCCACTTCCTACCTAGAATTTCGTTTTACTAAATTACTGCGTAAAATACGTCAATAGAGAATTATCATACAGCCAAAACAGAAAATCCTCCTAAGAAAAGGAAACAATTTTAAACAACGTTTAATTGACATCGATTAATTGACATATAATTTACAATGAACATAAAATAACAATTACGTAATTGTTATTACGTAATTTAAAACCAATAAGAAATAAGTAAGCAAGAAAATGAATAAATCCCAAATTTATGAAATCATTCTAATTTCTGAACGAATTGGCATTATTATAATTTCTGTCCCATAGGCAGTGTTAATATTCTCCTTTTCTTCTTTTGTCTCATGTCTTCGCGTAGCACACATACATATAATCATTCATTACCACGAAGTCATACTTCATACAACTAATAAAAATATCACCTATGCAAATCATTGGGAACATTTAATCGATAATATATACCGCAACACGTGTATCTTATTTTTTGACCAAACTAAGTCAGCCATCTTGGAGGGGGGATCCTGATGTAAACAGAGAGAAAGTCAATTTCTTTTTATTGCTTTAATCAATAGTATAACATTCCTAAAATATATTTCCAAATTTTGAATGTGACCTTCAAAATATTAAGGGCTCCATAGCATGTTTATTGCATGCAAATATACGAGTGCGCAGCATCTTCGCACACTTCGCATTTTCCTCGAAACCACTTTTTTCAAATTGGCGGGAAAGATATCTCAAAAGCTAGGTTACCAATTCCCTTGAAACTTAGCATACATATACTATAATATATGTACTAGTCGATGAACTTATAAATTAAACAAAATAAATGATTTAAACGACTTTTTTATATATAAGTAGACGTAAAATATTTGTGAAAACATCGACTGTTTCTTTGAAATGGCGACATTTTAATAATTTTCAACTTTTTCATATTTGTAAAGGTTATCAACTAACTGTGTTCATCAAAAGTAAAAAAATTTCTTGTATTCCTGTTTTGGTCAAATAGGGAGGGAACTACAGCTCCCGTCAATTTCAGATCTCGTTATTGAGGCGCTAGGAAAATACACTGTTACAACTCCAAATTGCAACATTTTTAAAACTGTAAGACAAATTTTTTTAATACCCTTATAGTTACTTAATAAAACCTCGTAGTTTTCAGAATTATCGAGTAAATAGATTCTCCGAAAAAAATTCGCCAAAATACGCACATTTTCAGGGTTCTACAACAGGATCCCACCTGAAGAGTGATAACAATTCCTCGGTATTATCGAACTCTTTGAACAACGAATTCAATCGATCAGATTTTCAAAGGTCATTTCGACCGGCAATCGTTATGCAGATTAACTTTAGGAATATTCAGAAGAGAAATGGTACCTCTAAGTGGAGGGGAAAATCATTGTTATAAGAAGCCCTTCTTTGTTTCTCCGGTCTTCAATCGCATCAATGGTCTCGGTATTACTCGTTCTGTTACAAATTAATTGCTCGAAGAGACACTGAGCCGAAGTAAACTTGCTCCGTTCTGAAATCATTTCTTCTTTAATATATGCCCGATTATTTTTGCCGAGGTAAATAATCGAACGATCGAGAATATACAAATTAATACGGTAAACTTCGAAAGGGGGAGCAAGGATGTCTCGCCACGTACCTGTGGACCTGATGAAGGTGAATTACGCTGTGACGGAGCCTGGAGAGGAAGTGGTGATTACTGGGATCTCTGGCAAGTTCCCGGATAGTAAGAATGTGCTAGAGCTGAAGGAAAAGTTAATGAACAAGGTGGACCTAATCACGGAGAACTATTCGAGATGGCGGCAAGGTAACTAAGATTTAAGTTAGCATCACATGGAATAGCGATGAAACTTAGTTAAATTCGGACAGATCACGCGGAAATTCCGAAAGACGGTGGCAAAGTGAGCGGCTTGTCCAAGTTCGACGCGATATTTTTCGGGGTCCATTACAAGCAAGCTCACACGCTGGATCCTATGTGCCGGATGTTGCTAGAGACCGCGTACGAAGCCATTGTTGACGCGGGGTTGAACCCTAGACAGCTCAGAGGGTCCAATACCGCAGTTGTCATAGGATCTTGCATTAGCGAGTCGGAGAAGACCTGGTTCTATGAAAAGCTACAAGTAAATTTCAATTTTTAATATATTGGCTCATGACACAATGGCGACTGCTAAAGCTTTGCTAAAATTTTATTTTTATTATAATTATTATTATCATTTAATTGTCATAACAGATGTTACGAACGTAGTATATTTTACGAAGCAGCTTCCTTCGTGTAATGATACGTTGCAGAAATTACAGGTACCAATATTGGGAAAGTAGTTGAGGAATAATGCACGTATCTCAACGTGAGAATTCTCGTTACCAGTCGCCAATGTGTGAAGCCCCTGATAACTCATCGAAGCCTTGAACCTTTTTCATTAAAAGTATATTTCTATTTGAAACGTATTTTAGGCAAACGGTTTCGGCATCACCGGATGTAGCAGAGCCATGCTGGCCAACAGGATCTCCTATTTTCTAGGTCTCCACGGTCCATCTTACGCGATAGACACTGCTTGCAGTTCTAGCTTAATCGCGTTAGATCAAGCTTACAAAATGATTCGTACTGGAGTATGCGATACAGTGATTGTCGGTGGCTCGAACCTCTGCCTCCATCCCTATGTATCTCTCCAATTCGCTCGCCTTGGTAAAACACGATAATCTATATCAAATTCACAAATCTCTTACATAAATCCTCTTAAAAAACTCGATTGCCTTGATCGAGTGAATCGTAATCAGCCATGGTAAGCAATTATTGCTCCATTGTATCTCGTTATCTTTCCAACTCGTGTAACGGCAATTTAAATATGCTCCGTGGTTAGACTCGCATGAATGAAGCTTCAGGTTCATTATCCATTTCCATTGATTTTAACGATTCGATATGTGATATCAGGAGTATTGTCTCCTGACTGTCGATGCAAGTCCTTCGATGCGAGAGCAAATGGCTACGTCCGCAGCGAGGCCATCAGCGTGATCTTGCTGCAGAAGGCGAAGAATGCGAAGAGAGTCTATGCACAGATCGTCTACACGAAAAGCAATTGCGATGGTTACAAGGAACAGGGTATCACATTCCCGGCCAGTGAAATACAGAAGATGCTTCTGACAGACTTCTACAACGAGTGCAACGTATCTCCTAACGACCTGGCCTTCTTGGAGGCTCATGGTACCGGAACTAGCGTTGGAGACCCCGAGGAACTGAACGCTATCGATAAAGTCTTCTGTCAGAGTAGAACCACTCCTCTTAAAATCGGTTCGATTAAGTCCAACTTGGGCCACACCGAGCCCGCCAGTGGTCTCTGTTCAGTGGCTAAGGTATGGTGACACCTGAATATATCAAAATAGTTTTAAAACTTGGTTACGAATTGCTTACGAATTGGTTTAGAATAATAGAATGAAAATTTAGAGATCTATAGAGAGCTTACGAATAAATTTAAAGGTCATCATCGCAATGGAAAGCGGCTTGATTCCGCCAAATTTGAACTTCCAAAGTCCCATGAAAGGTATGAAATGCTTCGAGGAAGGGAGGGTTGAAGTGGTAACGGAACCAACCCCGTGGGACGGAGGTTACGTAGGGATAAACTCCTTTGGTTTTGGCGGTGCCAATGCCCACGTCTTGTTAAAATCTCTAACGAAAGAGAAAGTGAACAATGGCGCGCCTTCTGACGATTTACCTAGACTGGTAGCGATATCTGGTCGCACGCAGGAAGCTGTAGAGACACTTCTCAATCACGTGAGTAAATCGTCTATGAGATGGTGTAAAATTGTATAAATAAATTACTATTTATCTTGGCAGGTCGAAAGTACGCCGGTGGACGTAGAGTACATTGGATTATTGCACAACATTCACGCAGAAAATATAATTGGTCATTTGTTCAGGGGGTATACGGTGGTTGGGTGTAAGACATCAGAGAAACCACCGAGAGAGATTCAAGAGTACTCCGGATTTAAGAAGCCCATTTGGTTCGTATTCTCCGGAATGGGATCCCAGTGGACTGGCATGGGTACATATAGAACTTCAATATCCAAATATCTCATCTTCAAGTAGATGATTCGATTAATCCTAAGCTTATCTCGGAATCCAACAGGTGAAGCATTGATGAAGTTCCCTATCTTCGTCAAGGCCATCCAGAAATGCGACGCCGTCCTGAAACCATACGGTATAAATATCATTGACATCATCACTAGCAAGAATAAGAAGACTTTCGATAACATTCTGAACTCTTTCGTGGGCATTGCTGCCATTCAGGTACAATGACTCTAAGTTCTCAACAAATAGCTACTATTAATTATACGAGGTAACAAGGGATGCTTGTTCAGGTTGGTCTCGTTGATCTATTAACATCCGTGGGTATCGAGCCGGATAACATAATCGGCCACTCTGTCGGAGAACTCGGCTGTGCCTATGCCGATGGTTGCTTCACGGCCGAACAAATGGTACTTGCAGCCTATTCCAGAGGTCTGGCATCGATCGAGACTAAGATGATTCGAGGATCCATGGCTGCAGTTGGCCTTGGATACGAGGATGTCAAAATCTTGTGCCCACCAGACATCGAAGTGGCCTGCCACAATGGTCCCGACAGCTCCACCATAAGTGGTCCGGCTGAGTCCATGAAGGAATTCGTTGCCAAGCTGCAGGTTCGTCCTGAATAATAAAAGTAGCAATTTAATGGTTTCAATCTTCGCAAAGTGAATCGTTTCTTATCGGAATGGATTCACTTTTATTCTCCAAAACTTACTGACGATTTTCCGACAAATTTAGGCCAACAAGATCTTCGCAAAGGAAGTGCCGTGCAGCAACATCGCGTACCACAGTCGCTACATCGCGGAAGCAGGACCTAAATTATTGGCATACTTGAAGAAAGTGATCCCTGAGCCAAAACTAAGAAGCTCCAAATGGGTGAGCACTTCGGTACCTCGCAACCAGTGGTACACAGAGGCTGCCAAATATTCTTCCGCCGAATACCACACCAACAACCTGTTGAACTCTGTCCTGTTCGCGGAGACGGCCACGCTAATTCCGGACAATGCTGTAACCATAGAAATTGCGCCACACGGTCTCCTGCAGGCGATCTTGAAGAGGTCCCTGGATCAGAATGTGGTAAACATTCCACTGACTCGAAGAGGCCACAAAGATAACGCCGAGTATTTCCTGCAAGCACTTGGAAAGTTGTACAATGCTGGTCTTCAGCCGCAACTGGCGAACATCTACCCACCTGTAGAGTTTCCTGTTAGCCGTGGTACCCCGATGATTTCTCCCTACATCAAGTGAGTATCCCACGATGAAACCTTGGAAGAATCAGTGCTTCATCGGAGACTCGTGAAATTTCAGATGGGAACACTCCGAGGAATGGTACGTGCCAGTCTACACGCAACGTCAGAAGATTACCACTTCAGAACGAGCAATCGAGGTGGCTCTCAAAGACGAGAACTACGAGTACATGGTACATCACGTGATCGACGGAAGAAACCTGGTCCCGGCTACGGGTTACCTGATTATGGTCTGGGAGACAGTCAGCTCGTTGCAGGGGAAGCTGTACGACGAGCTGTCGGTGGTTTTTGAAGATATCAAATTCGAACGAGCGACGACTGTTCCTTCATCCGGTTCCGTTATGTTGACAGTCATGGTGCACAGAGGTACATCGCATCAATCGGTTTGCGAGACGTTGCTCACGACTCGATACGTTTTCAGGATCTGGAAAATTCGAGATATCAGAGGGTTCCACGACAGTGGTGACCGGAATGATTCGCGTGCAACCGAATCCCGCGCAAGACATGATTCCAGCCAGATTTCTGCCAGAAATCGACGACGAGGAAGTACTTACCAACAAAGATATATATAAGGAGTTGAAACTTCGTGGTTACGAGTACACTGGGTTGTTCCGTGGGCTGAAGAGCGCGTCGATCAAGGGAACCCGAGGTCACATCGCTTGGTTAAAGAACTGGCCAGCGTTTATGGACAGTATGTTACAGATGAAGATACTGAACCTTGATACCAGGGCGTTGTATGTACCAACAGCGATTCGGAAGATGGTGATCGACGTGAAGATACACAATGACATGATTCGGTACCTTACAGAAACAGAGAATGGTACGTGTTATCTGTAGAAATTTGAAAATATATTATAATAAAATACAGTAAATATAGTAATACTTACATAATTTAAAGATGTTAAATAACACAATGAAACCTTACTCCACAGAGATCCCAGTCTACGTGTACAACGATTACGACGCCATAGTGGCAGGAGGAATCGAAATTCGTGGAATAAAGGCCAACGCCATTCAACGTCGAAAGCTGATGTCTGTTCCTATCTTAGAAGAATACAAATTCGTACCCCATCGTGACAAAGCCCAAGCATCGCTGGAAGAAATGATCATACTTTCTACCCATCTTGCTCTAGAGTGTCACATTATAAGCACCCCACGAATCCTCGAACTGATTCACCAGGATAACAAAGTACCGATAGAAGAAACCCTCGTTCCTATCTTCATGAAGGTATTGAGCGATTTACCTATGATTCGACCTAATTTGATGATAGCCGCAGAATCAGAACGATGCGAGAAATTGTCACTTCCTGAAACCGTGACAAGAATAGAAACAAATAAACTACCAGAAGATGGCAATGTCTTTATGGCAGCTGCTCACGACATCCTGTCCAGCAAAAGACGAGACATCCTGGAACAGCTTCTGCTAGCAACTGAGGACAATGGATTTATCCTACTCCGAGAGAGTATCGTGAATAAAGACACGATCGCCTATCTGCAAGCCTGCGATCTGAACGTTGTGCTGGAGAAGAGCTACAAGGATCAGACTTTGTTGCTCTTGAAGAAAGTGGAGAAGCCTCCTCAGAAGACAGAGGTTGTGTACGTGAACAACGACGAGTTCAGTTGGCTGGAGAAAGTGAAGGAAGTTCTGAACGAGGAGAAAGATAAAAACAATTCTGAGACAGTAAGATTAGTACTAGTCGCAGAGGGAGACTTGGAAAATGGCGTGCTGGGTTTGGTGAAGTGCTTGAGAAGAGAACCTAATGGAAAAATCGTGAAGACAATGATAATCCAAGACAGGGATGCTCCCAAGTTTTCTCTAACCGATCCATTCTACTCCAAACAGCTCGACATAGACATTGGTTACAATGTCCTGAGACCAGGTAGAGTCTGGGGAACTTATAGACACGTACCTTACCCGGAATTGACACCAGTTCCAATTCCACATGCTTACGCAAACTTAAAAGTATGTAGATAATAATTACCACTTTGAGAGAGAGATTACAATAAGTTCCTAGAACTTCTAATGATCGTTTAACAGGTAAGAGGAGACTTGAGTTCCATCAGATGGATGGAGGGTTCCATGAAACCGGACGTAAACGACGGTGACCTCATCAAAGTGGTGTACTCTTCTCTAAACTTCAGAGACATAATGTTGGCCACTGGAAAATTAATGCCAGAAGCCATAGCGGCGAAGAGAGAAATGAGAGATTGTCTGATTGGCTTCGAGTTCAGTGGGATCGACGCCAATGGACGACGTGTAATGGGATTCACTGATAACAAGTAAGCAAAGACTCTAAGTACTACGACTTTACACGTCTGTAATATAGGTCTCCTGCTAATTTGATAGATTAATTACATCTTCAGGGCCATATCGAATCTAGTCAAGCCCCATAAACTAAACATCTGGCCCGTGCCAGACGCGTGGTCCTTGGAAGACGCAGCAACCGTTCCGTCTGCCTACTTCACCGTCTTCTACGCGTTCTTCTACTTTGGAAAATTGAAGAAGGGCGAGAAGGTGTTGATCCATGGTGGAAGCGGCGCTGTGGGCCAAGCCGCCATCACCGTGGCTCTCGGCGAAGGCTGTGAGGTGTTCACCACTGTAGGCACAGCTGAGAAACGTAAATACATCAAGGAAACCTTCCCTAGTATAGACGACGATCACATTGGAAACTCTCGAGATACCAGCTTCGAGCAGATGGTGATGAAACAAACTCATGGAGAAGGAGTGAACATAGTTCTAAATTCCCTGTCCGAGGACAAGCTGCAGGCATCGATACGTTGCTTGGGTTACCGTGGACGTTTCTTAGAAATTGGTAAATTCGACTTGTCCGTCAACAACCAACTGGGGATGGAGGTGTTCTTGAAAGAGATCAGTTTCCACGGCATCATGCTTGACGGCATGATCAACGGTCTGCATCCCGACGTACAGGACGAGGTATATCACTTCCTCCTTGCCCAACTGAAAAAGAAAACTGTTAAGCCCCTGATCAGAAAATGCTTCGAGAAAAACCAACTAGAAGAAGCTTTCAGGTATATGGCGGGTGGAAAACACATTGGAAAGGTAAATACCGTTTTCATTCGTTCCCTTCGATAGATATCTCGGAGGTAAATATTGCCTAATTGTTCACAGATACTGATTAAAATAGCAGATGAGAACGCGCCTCTGAATGCACCGATTCTTGGTTACCCTCGTTTCAATGCTATAAGTAACAAGAGCTACGTACTAGTAGGTGGTCTAGGAGGATTAGGTTTAGAGCTTGCGGATTGGTTGATCCTGCGTGGCGCCAAAAACCTAGTGATAGTCTCCCGAAACGGAATCAAGCACGGTTATCAGAAGCTGAGGACAGAGATATGGAAATCCTATGGAGTGAAGGTTTTGATAATTTCTGGAGTAGATACCTCAAAGACAGAAGACTGCGAGTTTATCCTGAGATCCGCAGAGAAACAAGCATCCGTGGATGGTATCTTCAACCTAGCAGCACTGTTAAAAGATTGCTTGATGGTGAACCAAACCGTGGAATCATTCCAAGAGAGCATGAAACCCAAGGCTAAGATCACCAAAAAGCTGGACGAGGTCTCTAGGAAGATTTGTCCAAATCTTCGTCACTTTGTGGTATTTTCTTCTCTGTCGTGTGGAAGAGGAACTCCTGGTCAAACTAACTATGGTATGGGGAACGCAGTGTTGGAGAGGATCTGTGAAAAAAGAGTAGAGGAAGGTCTCCCTGCCATGGCCATTCAATGGGGTGCCGTGGGAGATGTTGGTCTTGCTGCTGAGATGTTGGAGAACAAGCAGCAGCTGGTGATCGGAGGAACCTTGCCCCAGAGGATTTTCTCGTGTTTGGACGAACTGGACAAATTCCTGTGTCAGAGCAGACCAATTGTAGCTAGTATGGTGGTGGCTGAGAAACGTCCCAGCGCCAGTGAAGCTAGCAATGTGCTCGAAGCAGTGATGCATATTATGAGTGAGTACTTTTCAGGTATTCTTTGCATGACTTCAGTTAGACAAAAGCATTGCCAATGTTTAAGACTCTCGATGTGTGATTTTCTTTCAGACATAAAAGACTTGAAGACTGTCAGTCAGAATTCTTCCTTGGCTGAGCTAGGCATGGACTCTATGATGGCTGTAGAGATAAAGCAAACTCTGGAAAGAGACTTTGAAGTGTTCCTGACTCCACAGGATATCAGAGTCCTAAACATAGCTAAACTTGTGGAAATGTCAGCGAAAGATACAAAGAAACAAATAAAGCAAGTTAAGAAAACAGTAACCAAGGCGGAACACTTAACTGGCATGAGGTTACTGATGAAAACTATGAACGTTTCGATACTAAGTGAACAGTATTGCATTAAACTTCCTGTTAAATGTGGCGAAAAGAAGAACGAAATATTCCTTATACCGGGTATCGAGGGCTCTGCTGAGATTTTTACTAGCTTAGCATCGAAATTAAAATTACCTGCAACATGTTTGCAATTAGGGATATACGACACGGATCATTCCATAGAGGAGATGGCTGAACGACTTCTGCCTGTACGTACCTATTTGATCAAGATTTGTTTTAATAATTATGAAAAAAAAATAGAGATTTCAAAGTAAAAAAAATGCAATTTGTTTTCCTTCTCTTTCAGCATGTTTTAGCAAAGTGCAAAGATCGCAGAGATTTCACGATCGTTGCATATTCATATGGATCGCTGATAGGCATAGAATTAGCAAGGAGATTGGAACCTCATATTCTAATCGGTAATCTCATATTAATAGACGGATCTCCCAATTATATGAAAACAATAAAATCCGAACATTTCGCATCGACTTCAGAAGATGAATACGAAAATACATGTTTAACCGACATATTAAGTGTCACCAACACACCCACCCTCGCTGAGGTAAATTATTCTTTCAATACTGTTCAATGATTATATTCGTTACACGAGATTCTATAACTAACTTGTACTAATTTCTTTTTATAGTGCAAATTAGATTTGGCCAAGTGTAAGAATTGGGAGGAAAAATTGGACACAATATTTAAACACACGACCGATGAAGTTCGTAAAATCTACTCGCCGCAAGCTCAAAAGGCCATCGTATCATTTATTTATAACCGCCTTTCAGTGTTAGATAAGTACGATCCCTCTTCCAGACCACCCCTCAGAACGCCAATTACATTATTGATACCAGAAGTACCAGCCGTACAACTTCCGGATGAAGGTTATGGTTTGGAGAAGGTAACATACTTGTACATTTATATTAATTCATATTGGTAAACTAATTCATGTATCGCTGAAATGAAATCACCTTTCTCGATTAGTTAACTCATGGAAAGGTGACAATACATAAAATCGAAGGAAATCACGCTAGCATGTTGGATAATGACAAGATTGCGGCGGCTATTAATGGCGAACCCTTGGAGGATGAAAAAACCTTTAAGGAGTCTCTAACTCTTGTAAGCGCCGATATGGAACTGCGTGGACAAGGCGAAAATTTCATGGGTTTATCGTAAAAAAAAGTAAACATTCACCGTGATAATACAGGGATGTTCCATTCTTTAGCGATACTTATCATTTTTATATGTATTTTTCATTCATAATAAATAAATGAAAAACTCAATATTAATGAAATGTTGTCATATTTTTATGCAAAATCATCATACATCCACAAAGACATTGAATTCACTCATATGACAAATAATCAACGTGCCATTCACACAATAAATTGAATTGTACTTCATACAACGGCCTTAACATTACATTGTATACATATGCATCATAGTGTAGAAATAAAGTTACTTTATAACGAATAATTTTTTTTTTTCGCTTTATCCCCATTCCTACAAATTTCATCGTTTTTATTCCTTTTTTTTTTTTTTTTTACTTTCTTTCTCCTTAATATATATTAAATAATTATCGCAATATAATTTTAATCATAATTAAACAAAACAGATCATGCCATACACACGTAAAAATACAAGTGAGAACGTAAGGCTAATAATCGTACAATTAATTAATAATAATTACAGTAAAACCGAGTTCAACATTAAACCCATGGATGTATTTACTAAAGTATATTTTTGTTTCTTTTTTTTTTAATTAGATGTTACACACAAAGGAACTTGATTGTATTACTTTTCTTTGTTTTTTTTTTTTTTTTTTTTTCCTATAATGGTTACTAAATACATCTTAAATAATATTACAGTATAGTATAACTTAACCAAATAATTAACTAATTGATAGAGAGTATCTTTACTTAATTGAAGGGTTTCATGTCCATTTACCTTATTCAACCTTATTCAATCACAATGGTATCAGATAAAAAAAATAAGGTTTAACATTTTTCTTTGCTCTAATTTACATATTTTAAACGCAATTTCCCAATTAATTACCTTCATAATTCCATTGGCTCAAAAACTGGTGTATTACGCGATAACGTTTGATTCAAATCAGAAATAGTTCCATTATTATTATTGTTATTGTTGTTGTTATTATTGTTATCGTCAGACGTACTAGGAATTGGAGTTGGTGTATCTCTACTTGCTAACATACGAAGATGTCTACTCGGTGGTTCCCAAAGGACTAATGCCATGGAAGGCCTCTCCCTGAAAGGGAAAATCTATAAAGCTTTATCTTCTCTACTGGGAAAATTTGTATTATAATAAAGCAAATATAAAAAATATATATTTAATTTAACACTACAGTATAAATTATGCATTAAAGAAATATTTATACTCACAATTTGGATAATAAAGAATTTGGAAGAATAGGTTCCTTTTGGAGTCTTTTCAGTTCTTCTGAAAGTATTAATCTAGGTCCTGTTTTTACTTGATCTGAATCTGCTACATTAGCTGCATCTATGTCTAATTCCATATTTAATTCCATAGAAGAAAGTGATGGTGCATCAGCTGTTGAAGTTGATGGTACAGCAGAATGTTGCTGATAATTGGAACTAATATGCAAATCTTTAAAATATGCAGCCATTTTTTCTTCTGTTATGAATTGTTTTGTTTGCCTTCTATAAGATCATAACTATATTATTAACATTGTATTAAAAAAATGAAAATTTTTCATTCGTTACACTACAAATTGAATTACTCACATATCTAGTAGATCATAAGCCTCAAGTTTTCTCTTTTGATGGAGTATTGGTTCGTAACTTGGTCCACCAGTAAATCTGACTAATTCTGGTTGTTGGAGAGAAGGCACACTCCATGGTATTGACATTGGCGGCACTTGTGGCATATGCATCCATGTCGTTGATTGTTGTGAAGTACTTTGTTGACCCATCATATGTTGAAATATGGATGGGGGTGTATGAAGATTTGCTCCTCCCATTGCATTCTGTACCAAAGAAGAATAGGTTTGATATTGCATAGATCATATTGCCATATTTTGAAGTAGCAATTGATAAACAATCTCAAGTACAACAGTATGCACTTAAGAAGGTATAATATGATTCTATCCATATTCAATTTTATTCTTTATCTAAATAACAATAACTGTAACAAGTAATTGTTTAGAGCATTCTAACAAAATTTAACGAAATTTTAAATAAAAAAAGCAGTATGCTTTTTACAGTATTTTATTTTAACTCTTCCAAATTAGTATCAAAAATTTATAGATAGTAATTGCTTACTGTCATTTAGAACCACTGAGATCTGGAGAGAACGTGCTTGAATCTTCGAATATGCGTTGCAACAAACAACAATTTCGAAGAATTTCACAAAAGCATTCACGTTGTGTAACATACGTTTTTGGCACTAGTCTCGGGGAAAAAGGTGTATGATAACACGTTTCGAGACACTTCGTCGTACAATAAGAATCCTTGAACTATTTGCCAGACGCTAACCTCTATTATTCACTCATGGCTTGATCAGAAAAACGAGATTCGTTATATAAAGATATATAAATGTATAGAAAACCGAGCGAAAAAAGTTTATGATGTTACTTGTGACGATATATTTATCTGTGAGTCTTGCTCTATAATACACGTTCGAGAAAGATCGTGTAGACCCAATTGTTTGTTTTCGTCTCTAAGTGTCACAATAAATCAGATGGTCATACGTATGATAGCTCCAGCGAATAGTCTTCGATAAATAATCCGCGTGATCGTATTTTCATCTAGTGAAAACGCGTAGACGTCACTAGGATCGTAAGCATATACAAGCCACAAGATTAACTACACCGCGTGAAAATAACACTCTCCTTAACCATACACCTACAGTGATTCTATAGCTTTAAAATTGCAAGTTCCACTATAGGGAAGTGTTCACGCATGCGCGCATGTGCCGCGGCGAAGCACGTTTCTACAAATATCTGGAATATTCTCGTGTCCGATAAATCTTGAAAGAAGATACTATTACATCTAAGTATTTATTATAATTAAATCTTTTTCTTTCTCTTTTTATAGAATACAGTTAAATCAATAAATATGACATCTACGTTATAAAAATATTTAATGCTATACAGTATATTTATCTATAGAATACTTGACATGTAATATTACGAAGTATAAACGTTAGAGTTTCGTAAATTTTTGGCGGAGTTTCTAACTAAAATTTCGTTCTAAGATTTCCTTCTGTAATATTTTAAATATAATTTGGCAACTGTATGACATTTTGAGTGAAAATATATGAATAATCGAATTCTAATAACACATGATTTAATTGCGCAATAATACACACTACTGGCGCCGCGAGAGATACAACCAATTTTACAAAACTGCAAAAGAATTGCGTTCTATAGGCTCAAGCAGGGGAAGATTATGTAAATTTTTCATTCGACAAATCAATCACAGTTTCGCTTCATAAACAACTCAAACGTGCATTATTTCCTAGAATTATTTGTCATCGTTATTTTAAAATAAAAGAAGAAGTAGAGGCATAGAAAATAAAATTCAGCACCAGCCGAAAATTTTATATTATTATTTTTACGATAATAAAAATGACAGTATAAATATTTCAAATAACTCTAGGAACATAATTTTATAATATAGAAAATATGTTTTATATATATATATATATCCTAAATAAGTGTATATTTTAATTTGACAGTAGTCTAAAACCTGTTTAGCCGTGAAAGATCTGTACGTGAAATAAGAAAAAAGTACTCCCTCTACCATCATTCTCCTTTTACTAGGCACCAGTTCCAGGACCTCAATATTACCTAGAAACACAGTTAACGTAATATAAACATCTAAAATCTTATTTTCTTCAACAAATAAATATCTTATGAAGAATATGACTTATCAAGAAAAAAATGTAACTTAAGGTATAACTTATCAAGAAAAAAGGGAAAAGAGAAAGACCCATTTAAAGAACAAAAAAAATCGGTTAAAACCCGGAAAAATAAATTCTTGTATAAACGTAAAAATAATGCAATGAGTTTTTCCAAGCTCGACTGGGTTTTGCTAACTTTGAACGTACAATTGGATATGCAAATGTAGTCGCGAATAGATAAAACTTTACCTGTAAATCGCTGATGGCACACATTCACGCATGGCTCCTTGAAACCTGTCTTGCATCGTCGTTCAATTACTGCATAGAATACAAAGAAATGTATAGTGTCCGCGGAATACTGTTAAGCGTGCAAAGTGGCCATTCAATATAAATGACCTTTTCCTTACACGACGTGGAAACAAGAAAAGCTATTAAAGTATCGTAATCTGACGAATATCGCCTGTCGTTTGTTCACAGTTCAATGACGATCGTATCATCGAGCCTTGCAACGCAACGTAAATCGAAACGATGCGGTTCCCTCAAGTGGAATGGGCGGTCTTTGGTAAATGATGTTCCCGTCTCATCTTCCGCCATGCGGTTACGATCGAAAGTGGTTTTTCCACGACGATTCCCGGTCGTGTTTCAGTGAATTCACTTCTTTGTACATGACGAACCACTTATCTGCATACAAGCACGCGAAAAAAATACCTCCAGTCATTTACAAGCACGAAGAACATTTCGTGCAAGCGATTCCAATCGTAAATTTATAATTCCCTCAAAATATTTTTCTTCTCTTCGTTGCATAAAAAATTTACAACTTCGGGTAAACCTGAAACGAATACACCACGAGTTTTATCTTAAATATACCTCGCCATATCGATGCTGATTAGATACATGTAAATATTTTAATTGCAATCACTACATCGTAAATTATTCTCGCTTACACCCGGCACTTAACAATTGTTTAATTATGTCAAGGTAAAGACAATTAAAACGCAATCATCCCGATAACTGGGAAAGATAAACTTTCTAAAATAAAAAAAAAGAAAAAAAAAGAAAAAAAAAAGAAAAACAGAAAGAAACGGAAGAAAATATGAGAATCATTCGAGGGATTTCCCTTTTCGCAGCGTAATTAATTACACCGTTGCCCCGGTGGCGTCTCGATACCTGGCCAGATACGTTCCCCACGATTACCTTATCTCCATTCTAGAGGCAAGAAAACAAGCGTCATTGGCCGCGGTCGCATCTTTCAGCTGAGACACGTGAGGGAGGAGAGGCGTACAAGACAAGAGCGGTCAGGTAGAGCGCGCACACGTATGTTAAGGCCGTGTAGCCGGTTATTATGTAGCCGATATGGCTCCAAGGCAATTAATACTATTGTTATGATTCAAACGAATACGTCATGTGTGCCTGAACGACGATGCAACAGCGCGGTTCGGTCAGTATTCGGCTACAGAGACTGGCGGTTGCTCGCTCCTGGCCTGGCCCGCTCCACCAAACGTGCACCATTCCACTCGCGCTTAAATGACTTTCTAAGTAATGTCCTGAGACGTGCGCGCTCGGCGCCCGGGACGGATGTAATTAACTGCTCAGTGTTGTGAAGGTACATAATATGACATCAATGAGCGGTAAGTTTACGGTCCATTCGCGTAATTGGTCAGGAAGGGGCTCAATTCGACAGTGATCAAGCAGGAGTCATGGAATGTAGTGGAAGAACTGAAACATACGATAATCGCGCGGTGATTGTGTAAACGTATGCACACTACAGTGAGTCAATCCATTGGAAAGGAAACAATGATAACGTCGGATGTTCGTGAAAACCGTGGAAGGATTCTTTGACTTGGTTTCGTGACGGAAGGTGCATCGATGAGGTGATAGTGAACGGTCACCTCTGTAACAGATGTTGCGAAGAGATATTGGCAAAACGATTAGGGAAATATAAACGAGCAATTATGTCGAATAATAATCTCACCGAGAAGGAGTCTTCGAACAGGAACAATAATCCAATCCAGGATGGGAAAGCAACGAACGACAAGTATGGGAAGAGTAACGTAATCCCTACGCACAAAAACAACGAAGAAATAGCGAAAAAGTCAAGTAAAGCGACTCAAATTGATTTTATTCAATTGTCTTACAGTATGCAGAGAACTAGACCGACTTCTCTGGCTTATTTGCCGAGACAAACGCAAATGAGCGAGTCCAGTTATTCCTGTTATAATTCCAAGAGCTCCTTATACCCGGCTCAGAGCGAATTGGTCCTATCGCCAAGGAACAGGCACAGTCGTTATGTAGCTTTAGATATGAGATCAATGGGCAGCCTTCCACTTTCAAACAGTCATACTTCTGTAAATAATATGCCGTATACATGCTGTTGTACATGTGCTGGATCACCGGTCCCTCCAACACCTCCCTCTCAACACGCGGAGGAGCAAGATGGTCCCGAAGGTCTTTCGTGGAGAAGACTACACATGAGCAGAGCCAAGTTAAAAGCAACTGCAACAACTTCGGAACTCTTGAGCGGTTTCGCCATGGTGAGTATATCTCGTCTGGAGCCGGAGATGATAATTTGTCATAATATTTCATCGTTCGTTAAAATTCCTTAGGCAGTAGTTTATACAGTAATGACTGATCATCGCTTTAAGCGTCCATACGCCTTAATGATCTAATCGCCAATAGGCACAGTTAATGGATACCGATGCAAAACAAACGTATACATTTTCATCAGTGAATCCTGAGAGGGGAGAAAATTCGCCTGTAATAAATTCGAAATGCTTGTTGTTGAACATTCCTCGGGCAAGTTAATTTTCCAAGAAAATGTGTGTTTGTATAATCAGAAAATCCGCGGCGGATTACACAACGTTTCCTGAAAATCATTAAACAGTCGTGGACGACAATTCCGTGTAATCTTCAGTCCCGTCTATGATTATATAAGACAAATATCACTTTCTTTAACAATACACCTCGGATTGACGCAAACGTAATTGATTTTACAATGCATTTTGCGGATCGCGTTGAGAAGATTATGATCTCCTCAAGGAGATCCGTTGAAGGTATAGATAGATTGTATAAACCAGCTTAAGGCAAAATTTCTCGGAAATACTTGCCTTTATTCGCGGTTTTTTAAATTGTACGAACGTCTTTCATTGTTTTTTTATCTTTCCAGGTAGCCATGGTTGAGCTGCAAATAAATGAGCCAACCGCGGTGCCAGAATGGCTGTTTGTGATGTTCGCTGTTTGCACAACCGTCCTAGTATCAGTACACATCTTTGCTTTAATGATAAGCACGTATTTATTACCCAATATTGAGGCCGTCAGTAAACTTCACATATCTCGACTTGTCACGGAATCTCCTCATGAAAGAATGCGTGGCTTCATCGAGCTGGCTTGGGCATTTTCCACGGTGTTAGGATTATTTTTATTCCTAGTGGAGGTAGCCATACTGTGTTGGGTGAAATTCTGGGATTACTCATTCACCGCTGCCACTGCCAGTACCATTATAGTTATTCCGGTTCTCATAGTGTTCATTGCCTTCGCCGTTCACTTTTACCATTCATTAGTGGTATATAAATGCGAGTCCTCGGTGACTGATATGAACGAGTTGGAGAGCATCAAGAGAAACTTAGATAATGTGACGATGGGGCAAAGCAGCGTGTGATCCTATAAAGATTGCCATGTTCATCAACTGCTCTAGCCTTGTCTCCTAAAATATGTCCCAGACTGTATATTATTTATCTGCGTTTCACTTTGAGGTATTAATATTACTTAAAATTATACACGTTATTACGGCATACGTTAAAAATGATGGAAAAAGAACACATGTAAGTTTATTCAATAACTTTACTTATTCAACACGATCACGCGAAAGCAATCGTGTTTTTATTATATATAAAAATGTACATAGCTGTACACATGCAAGTCGAGAATTGCAACAGTACAAGCAAAGTGCTCTTATAAGTATATTAGCTATATCATTTAGCATTTAATTATATTCTATTTATGACTTAATTCCCAATTTCTTCTTTAAATGTGTTTCTCATTTACCTTGGTTTTTATTTCATACATCATATCTTATATATATATATAATTCGTTATATATATATATATAAATATATATATAACATTTCGTCACTTAGTTTGTGGGAAAACTGAAGGACAGTCAAGTGTGTTATTTATGTACATGCTTCCCATTCTGAAACTTGTTATCCTAGTCAAATAAATAATATCCGTCAGACTTGAAGACTCTCGTTAATTAAAACGTGGCTCATTACATACATTTATAAAAAAGGGGAAATACAATTTTACGCACCTTTCATTTTCACCATAAACTAAGTTATAATCTTATGATCGATATTTTCTACATTATTATGCATTAAATTCTGTTTGTACAAAAAGTCAATACGAATTAAAGAAAGAAGTGTAATTAAAGCAATAACATAATACAATCATTTTCCTACGTGAAAAATATATAATCCATATATATATCTTCCTAATAACGAAAGCATTGAAACACATTTTATTATTGCACAATATATCTGATCATATATCATTTCTTTTTCTTTCTCTTTAACTAAAATGTTGAATTAAGTCTAAATTTATCAAAACCAATTTTATGCAATAAATCAAATCTTTGATAGTAATGTGAACACAAAATTGACAATATGAAATTAATACCTGTATTTAGTAGTATGTACATTTAATATAAAACTACTCAAAATGTACATTATGAAAAAATTGACCCTGTATTATAATTAATTAAAAAAAAGTAAAAAGAAAAATGAACCATAAAATGAGTTTTAAGCTTTCTGAATTTCAATAGAACGCAATTAAATTCATCCTGTTTAAGGATGATCAAGTCTTCTTTTCTATGTTTACAACGGAAGTAGTTAAAATATACTTTGTCACTTATGTCCTTATATCTTATAAGAGAAATAGGTATTTTTTCTATACGTTTCGTCCTAGCATTATTTTCTTGAATTTATTCAGATGAGTAATGAATAAGAATAAACTGCTTGTGCTATGGACAGGTAAATGAATAAAGTGTAAGAAGAATATCAGTTTTATACAAAAACTAATTAAATTGTATCAAAAAGAGTATTTTTATAAATGAGATATTAATATTTGTATAAATAGCTTAGATTCTTTAATAGTCATTAACATAAGCAAAAAACAATAACAAACAAATAATCTTTTTTTCCTTTTTCCTTTTACATTCAGAATTATTAGTTTTTGTATAATACTATTTAGTATTAATCTATTAACGTTATAAAAGTAAGGACGAAAATGTTTAAGAGAAAAACAAAGTATCGAAATTTTTCAAATGAACAAGATTGCAAGTATAATATTCTTTTTTTTTCTTCGTCCGTATTACAGATTAGAGATTATTTTCTAAGTCAATATACAAGTGTACAAGTTATGATTACTTTAAACTGATGTATTTCTGTACCCGATGATTTATCGCACCTAATACCATATTATACGATTCTAGGTGCAAAACAGATTACATTAAAAAACATTCAGTTCTCCTTAAAATATTCTTATTCATAAAATATATTCACAGAACAAAATTCAAATATACATATAATTCGTTTGTAATCTTTAGAATGTGATGAATAAAATATTATAAAAACAAATAGTAAATGACTAACACATTTCGAGTTATAAATTTTTTGTAATCTACAGCAAATAATACAAATATTAGAATAGCAATTATTCTATTTATGAGAAATTGCATAATATTGTATTATATATCGTATTATATCGTATTATATCAATCTACTGTATTATAAATTGATGGAAGAAAAATTGAACAAAAAGGATTGATTAATCTTTTTGAGAGACTAAATACATTGGCTTTCGTACAATATTACTTTCAGTCTTGTTTTCAAATAAACATATAAAGTCTTTCTGGTGCCTATCCATAGCAAGAGCTTAGTTAAAACACTATTTTTCAATCATAAATCCTTCTTTCTTATCACGAGATAGTTGAAAATTAAGACGCTAGTACGCAATTTATTTATTTCTTTTTTTTTTCTTTTTGACAATAAAGTTCTACAACTTCCACTTTTCACTTTTCTAAAAATTATTTTCAATTTTTCATCTTGCTATAAAGTTAACAAGACGTTTGGCAAGTAGAAATGCTTGCTGTTTATCCTAATAACGAACTGTAAATTTTTTCTTATGTTTACAAAAACGAAAATTTATATACACGTTTGCATAGAGAATGCTTTGTTCAATGCTAACTCCAAATAAATGAAAGTCACAACCTACACACATACGTTCACTAGATCTTCATGAAAACCGTCGAATAATTATTAAATTACTCTACCCATAACTACATGTTACATACAAATAGTCTGATATCGATTGAACAATAAATTAAAAAGAACCTTTCTGCATATAATATCACACACATTTATAACAGAGTATAGTGAAATTATTAATATGTATACATATTATTAGCTTAATATAAAAAAGAAGGAATAAAAAAATGGTGTATCTTGAGACATCAAAAATTTGTATAGTAAACTCGTTGTAAAACTAAAAAAAAAAAAAAAAAAAAAAAAAAAAAAAAAAAAAAAAAAAAAAAAAAAAAAAAAAAAAAAATAAAAAAAAAAATGTATCCGTTCTTTTTAAGTGAATTTCAGAACACGTTTTTACGCATTTACTAAATCGTGAGACAGTAATCGGCATCGTTTACGTTATCTATTACACATAGTTCATTCATTTACTCAACATCAAATTTAAGACATGAAATGAATACCAACGTTATATTCACAATAATCAGTATTCTATATACGCTTTTCAAGAACTGTTTTATCTTTCAATTTAATAAAAAAATTTATTACTCGTATTTTTAATATTGTATTAAATCAATGTAGTAGTATAGTATACCTTTACGTTCCCATGTATGAAACCGTAATTTGCATTGTGGCATTAAAAGACGCATGTGTAAAAAAAAATTACTTACATTAAATGACATTGATAAAAATAAGGACGTTATGATAAGTGACAATGGGATTCTACAAGTAGTTTTCCTCCCATAATGTGTAATATACACAAACCCTTGACTGTTGTCAAACTTCCATATGTTTGGAAGGCTGTTGAGATATGAATGGTTCGCTCCACATTCGACGTAAATCTCCCTGTAAATATCACATTCATTAATTTCAGATGTTTATATAAAAATACATTACAAGAAGTATTAAGTAAAAGGTACCTTTAAATATGCCATTGTGAGTAATGGCAATAAAGTAAAGGGCACAAGGTACAATAAGGCAGGTTGCGCAGCTTTGAACACCTCAGAGCTTACAGTAGCAGTAAGTAAACCAAGAAAATAACCGATAAGTGAACAATGGAAATAACTAATGCGATTAATGTGACGCGGCGGTGGAACTCCTGTTTCACAACCACCCGGCAACAATTGAGTCTTTTTGTACGCGTCATATCGTAAGACGAAGCAAAGCAACAGGCCTGGCATAACAACATCACCAAGACCTAACATTGAAAAATGTCCTGCTTGATGCATTGATGGAAACACTAATTTTCCAGGTAAAGGAAGTTTTGGTGCTTCTCTTGCTACACCACCCAAGTGTAGCCTCCTAGCCACAAGATTCACTGGATTATCTGCTGGTCTAGTTGCTACCTATCATTAACAAGATGAAAATGTAAAAAACAATTTGTTACACATATTTATATATTATAAGTTTGTTGATACTTACCTTAACCATTACGTTTGTGCTGAATATATAGGATGAAAAGAAAACCCAGAAGACATCATAAATGAGTAATCCAGTTAATAGTATGGTGGATACCTTTAGACTAGGTAATCGAATGAATGCAATGAATGCTACACAAAGTCCCATACCCATTGCGTCCATGAGTAACCAATGCCCAGTCAGTACCCAGATGCATACTATACTCACACTCAATGAAAATGAAAGTAATTCTGCACCAGTGAACCTTCCACAGACACCAAAGGATATTTTATTACCATCTGAACATGGTCTAATGATATATTGACACATTGGTAAAAGAAGAAATGCCAATGCAACTGCAGCTACAACTGCAAAATATATGTCTTTGATTTGAAACTATTCTTCATTTGGAGAATAATAATTATAATAGAATGAAAAATATTATTTTATGAAACTTACTAGCTGTACAAATTGCTACAAGCATCTGCATGCTGTCAAAAAAGAAAAACATGACAAGTAGAGAAATAGAAGCACCAAGAGGTAGACAGAGAGCATGCATTGTGTTTAAGGTTTGAACTCTTCCATTAGCACCATCTGCGTTTGCTGTGCTATTGTTACTCAAAATTCCAGTCAATAAATTACTACGCTCCTTTTCTTTTTCTCTTTCTCTAGCTTCCTGTTCCATGTTTAAAGATCGGAAACTGCCATAGACTATCAATAAAATTGATATTAGGAAAGTGGATATTCTAGATGAATCCATTATGGTATAAGCCCTAAAATATTAATTGTTTATTAAATATTAACTTTAGTCAAAATCTACTTAATTTATTAATAACATCTTAATTCTAAAATTAATAGTAATTATAAAACTAACCACTGATAGTCAACTTGATACGTGGCCATTTTTAAAAATGCCTGGCCAAAGCATGAAACGCTATGCTAGGACACCTTCTGACATTTAGATGTCCTATTTGAAAGTGCTTTCTGTTTGCACTAACCTACATCAGAGATCATCTGTAATCACTGTAAAAATAATATGTTAAGATTTAAAGTATGAAAGATCTTTAAAACAAAAATACAGTATATAAACTGTACCTGCAACGCTGTGCATTCAACATTGTCAGTAATGAAATTAGGCCTTGTATTACTTCGGTCACCCCCTTTGAAGAATAGAATAAAAACGTGACATCAGTGACGTAAAACAATGAAACAGAATAATTAAAATTACTATCGAAGTAATTACATAAAAATACGAAGCTCAGTCATCCACGATGGAAACGTAAAAAAATAGTAATCCAGTAGGTCGATGAGATTTAAAAAAATGTTGTAATTAATATGGCAGTCATCGTATTATCAAAAAATATATTCGAGACAATCACGATAAATCGCAACAATTCACGTGCACCAGTAAAAATTATTGAGAGATTATACACGGAAGACACTTTCCTACAGCTACTTTCAAACTTTCGCTACAATCGTTTATGACAACCAAACGCAGCGCGAGTTACAATAATACTAGCTACGGTTATTCATTTACGACATAATAACGCTAACGGTAAGTTCACTGTAATCCCGCTTTCGTTTCATTGGACGTATCACAGGCAAACTAACAAGTATTAGAAAGAATTGAAAATTATTTGTAAAACATAGACGTACACCATTTTGGTAAACAGAAGGGTCACGTGACTAGCAGTGGCCCCAAGAGGTTGCTACTCCCTTACCCCAGATTATGTCTCGACGCGATATTTTAGAGACCCAGGCATCTCACCTGGGCGGTCCGAAGTGTGGCCCTTCTGTAAATTCTCTCATCACCTCATGTATACCACACGATTTTCGTGATAACAAGAAAATTGTGAGAGAACACGAAAACACGAGAAAAATATATTAGCGCGCGATCGGTCAACTACCACAGTTAACTACACAGGTCAACTGCTTGACAGGCGCAGACCTGCGTCAAGCTTCTCTACTGGGTGTTCGAAACACATTAACTTTAACAAACTAATATGAGCGTGATAATAGCAAGCAACGTGTTCGTTCGTTTTATTTTTTAAATAAGCAATGTTTTTTCTCTAAATAGAATACACTGAACATTTTCTTTACTCTAAATACATGTAAACTAATGAATCCCATTTTGAAACATGCAACAGTCGGCGCATAAAGTTCTGTTTCATTATGTAATAGTTGTATATTATGTATATTATTTGTATAATACAGTATAATACAGAGGATGATTATGTCCCTATGATTATGAAAAAAATATTTAAATCAAGCAAGAGTAGTTGAAATGGTTCATTCATTAGATGGTTCAGCATTTACAACTTTTAAATATAAACTGATGAAAGGAAGTAATATTTATGTATAGTGTATGTTGTTGTTAATAAATTAAAGAAAATTTAGATTGGTATAATATATTTAGATACAAGAATTGTTCTACTTGAATTCAATATCATAAGGAAAAGTTTTACTAGATAACTCATTTAATAACTGTTTTATTATATTGATCACTACATTTAATCTAGATCAGTTCATTAAACATTTAACAAATCTATTTAAAAATAGCTTTATCTTACAAATATAATTTGTATTAATATTAATTCATTATAAATTATTATATTTAGTGTACACGTGTGATCAGCTTATATATTACCAACAAATGAACAAACTAAAAGAGTTTTAAGTTAATCAATTGTATCACTGAAAGATGTTAAATTTTTAAAACTTTCATATAATTTAATAAAATTGAAACTAATAATCATAGATTAAATTTAATATAGATATAATACTTTTTAAGAATTTTTGTCACCAGAATTAAAATACCGATTGAAAAAAATTAATAGTTTCTTACGCCCTCTTCGAATTCGAGTTATAAACATATATCAACTACTAAGTCGGTAAAGTCAATGTATTTGAAATGATTTACTTAATTTCGTCAATTTAATTTTCAACTAGCATGTTTTTATTTTGATTATAAATAAATATTAAAAATATACTGATTGAGGTATATCCTAAAAACTAATACTATAGAAACGTAAATTCAGCTTTAACTTATAAAAAAATGTATAAATTTGTAATTTTGTTGTTGTAATAATATATTTATACAGACAAAAAGACTTGATATTATCCGATTATTAAAGACATAAATTTCCAACCAAAATCCCAAAATTAATAAATTTTATTCTGCTATCATAAAAACATCATTCTTTGTTTTACCCAGGTAGGTCGTATATTTTCGCCTGACTTCCGCAAAATAACGAACGCTGTGCATATAAGGGAAAAAGAATCGACAATAGGCGCACATTCTTTATATAGACTTCATATTGCGTAGATTGGAAATTTGTTCAGAATCATTCGATGGAATGTAGAATGATTAATAATTAATGCGTGATTTCTATATTATTAATGAAAGTGTCGCAATTTTCCTTTCAATTTTTACTTACCCGCGGTTTTCATATTCTCCTCCTACTCCACTTTTACAAGAATCCTAAGATTATTTGAAGCAGGAGCTATAGATGATGTGAAAACAGAGTATTAAAATTTATTATTTCATATTATTTGAATTGAATCAATTTTTATAAAAAAAAGTTTGCTTTTATTCTAAAAGATCAACAAGCGTATCTTTGACACGAAATACTGCAAGTAGATTAATGTATAAATTTATATTCTATTAAGACTAGGGCTTTAAAACTGTCTCGATACGTGGTCACCCCTATATAGAGAAATCCAAAACATGGTATGGTTTTCAAAGATTATTTTTTGGAAAGTTATACTAACCTAAGAATCAAGGCCTAAAATTATCATACTTAAATACTCGCATTGTACATGTACAATCATACTATTCTGAATTTTATTTTTTAAATAAGTAATTTTTATTACATTTGACTACAATTACAACTGCTACTAGTTTTTTCATCCTAAATACGCTGTATCAGTAACATTGAAAACGACATAAAAATTATAAGAATGCTAGAGTTTCTTAAGATCTTACAATTTATAACATTAAAATGTTGTAAGTCTTGGATCTATATTGTATCTTGTCTATGGTAGAAGGAAACAGATTTGTGCTACAAGAAATTGAACTTGCACACGTGACAAATTTTCTTGAATAAAATGTAATTTTATTTGAATATCACACATTTATAAGTGATCTATGTAATTTAAAATTTTGTATGAGCATTTAATGGTTCTTTCTTAACATTATTAGACAGTTATTAATTTATAATATTCAACATTTACCATTTTATTTATTACTTTAGCATAAACGTTATAAAAATACATTTTTATTACACTTATTTGTCAAACTTTACTTTTATTTATGTTTCAGTAAACTTATGCAAGTCTATATCTGTTGCAATCATTTTAAGTGACCAACTGGGAGCTAAGTCGGTAACGTTGGCATTTATTTTCAACTTATCGATAAAGTAATATAACATTGAACTCTATCTCTCATCTTTACTTATTAAACCTTATCGAAACAAGAAACATTAAATTACTTCACTCGAACAATTACTACATGTAGTCGATTAGAAGATTCGCATTTTTGTGTTTTGTATATATACACAACAAATACTTGAGGTGACTACATAGTTATTAATACATTGAAATTCGTAATATATCCTCCGTGCGGTAGAATGAAGAGGCACTCGAGTACTTCTTACGTTGTATGATCTGCTCAGATAAATTAAGAGCTTGGTTTCGTTTGGAGATAATGGTCAGTATCAAACATCTAATCGAAGAGTGTACCGAGTGCTTCTTCATGACATTTCTCGCAAGCGGAACAATTCGTCTGAGCAGACCGTACGAATATTTTGCCAAATGACAGAACGAATATATTTTCGTTGGCGTATCCGTTCCAAGAAGTACGTAAAAAATTTCGTTAATTCCTGTCGCGTAATAAATAAATCCACATGACATCAAATAATATCACGTTCCACGGTCATTATTGTCTACTAAGATTGTAACACGAGTGTGACATATAAAGAAATTATTATATCATACCCATTAAGATTAATAGGAAAACGTCAAAAATGACAGTAGCCCTATATGATTCCTCTCATTTTGACACGAACTAGCAACTTTTTGTTAATTTAAAACCTAGTTGAATACAGCCTAAATGATGCAAAGCAAGAAAGACAACATATGTTACATATTCGAAAAACCTTTATTATAATTTGTTTCAAAATTCATCGTGCAAAAATTTCGTATCATTCAAGTTATCAATTATTGTTTTCGCTCGTATTATGTTCAATCAATATTTTTTCCCATGGAAATAGAAGGAAACAGCAAAGGAAAAAGCTTCAAGAAATTTGCAAAATCACAGATTACCTATAATCAAATTTGTATGTGTTCGTATATACGAATACGAGCATTATATAGGTGACTTGGTAATAAAGGTTAGGCGCCGACACTGAGGAACGTGGCGGGTTACCACGTCGTGTAAAAAGAAGACCCATACTGTTTCCGAATACCGTGCTTTTAAGGCACGCTTTCGAGTCTGTTGGTATCGCTGCTGGTGTATTGAGAACTTACGAACAGTGTGTATAAGTACAATTTCGATCTAAGAGCGCACAGTCTGTGGGCTAGAGGAATATCAAAATGGTGGCTGTACGACACGGGTGATGTGTACGCAAATATTGGAGTGCATTATAATTTCAGGAAAAACACGTGTGAGCACGCAACGTATACTAAAATGGGTGATCCGAAGGCTCAACACGGTACACAGGAGATGAAAGGCTGGCTCTTTAAATGGACTAATTATTTAAAAGGTTATCAACGAAGGTGGTTCGTCCTGTCAAATGGCCTACTGTCGTATTACAGGTAGTTTCTTATATGTCAGTAATTTCATTTTAGTTATTTCACTTTTACCTGCGTATAAATCGTATAAATCGATGTAATTAGTATTCGTTATACGAATATTTCTTTAACAATTTTCATCTCGTAATCTTGCTGTTTTTTTAACAGCACAATAATAACAATTATTATGGAAGAAAATTCATTCAGATACAATACAGAGCTGTTCCTTTTTTCTTAATTATCATGCATACTTTAAAGCATTGTACTTGTACTATATTTCCTTTCCTATAAAGCAACACCTTTAATTTTATTTTGTATTGAAAGTACAATTTGGAAAGAAATAATGATGATCATTTGTATAACCTTTCTTAGCCATCTGTTAGATAGAAATATAATAATAACTAGTTCAGTTTATAATATCTTAGTTCTAATTAAATAAAAAGGAGATGTAAATTCTTTAAGAGAACTCATTATTTATTTGAAATTGTAATATATAAATATAGTGTTGTGCTTACAAACGTATACATGCATGCTTACAAATGCATATATCACTTACATAATACGTATTATTATAAATAAAATAATGTTATGGAATATATAAAAAACATATGAACATATGAAACAAATTTATGGGACAGCTTTGGATTACATATCTAACATAACGTTGGATCATGCTTGTGATTCTATCAGTGCCTTAAGCAGTTTGCGTTAAAAACACAAGAAATAAAGTACGATACTAAACATTTAACAGTTTGAAGTTGCATGTATATAAGCAGCCAGTGCAGGCTCAATCATGGATATTATTGATATGGTTTATCCAAGTATATTTAATTTATGAATTTAATCATAGTTTCGTCCAAAACTCATGTTTACATATTCCATACTTACCCATTTTAGTTTGAGCAACATCCTGAGCATGTACGTGCCACAGAACGTGTTGAAATCTACGTTAAAAAGATTAGAAAGCATTGAAAGAAATATGGATTGGTTGGAAAGACCGCATATTTTGTATATATACTCATTTACATTTATCACACGCATCAGAGAAAATTTATTGCATATTTGCCTTCTACTCTTTTTTTTCAGTATAGCAAGATTTTATGTTCAATGATTTCATTCATTTACTTTCGTATACTGTTTGTGGGAGAGTTGTAAGACTGTGAAATTTCATTTAATCATCATTAATCACGTAAAGTTCACAAAGTTTTTTAACGCGGATGAATTTCAGTTTTTCGGTTAGTTACCGGTTGTGGATACAGGTGAGAGAGTTCTAACAAATATAATATACATCTATATATATATATGCGTTAAAGATTCCACTATTCAATTTCTTTATATTTAGAACATCCGCGTTCCCTGACAACATGCCTAGATCTTCTTTTAATTTTCCGCTTGGCACAGTTGTGTGATTTGAGTTTGCAATGCCTTTCCAAATTGCAAAAACAGTATGTCCTGCAATTTTATTTTTACACGAACCTCAACTTCGTGAACGTTGAAACGCTTCTCGCACAAAGTGTGTACACGCAACGCACGAACGTGATGGTTGCACTGATGCTATATAAAAAGAAGAGAGAAACAGAGAGAGAGGGAGAGAGCGAAAGAGATTAAGAGAGAAAGAGGGCGAGTGAGGAAAAGCAATCGACGAAACAAATATAAAATCCAGAAGGAACATCACAGTATCGCGAGAATCCGCGTAGGATAAACAGCGACAGAGATACATTTTTTTCTCGAAACAGTAAAAAAAATATCGCTTTGATACAATGTTACACAATGTGAACGGGGTCTATTTGTTTTATGGACTGTTTAGGGCTGAACCAACAGGGGGGCCAAAGATATCAACACGACGCAAGCGGAAGGCTGGCAGAGCCTCCGAGTAAGTAAAATTATCGAAAAAGCCGAAATATCCTGACTCTTCTTTGAATCAAACTTTTAATTAAAACAGACAAAGACGATGTTCGAGTTTCATTCTCATTTCATTATACAGTCCTTGCCATATTATATATATGTATATATTTATATCATTATATATATACATATATATATTTGAGCTAAGTATTATTAATACAGTATTGTCAATGTTCCTAATAATTTTACTTGCTTCCTGACCATTTCTTACCATCGCCATGGATCTAATTTACCAAACAATCCCCCTCATCCTGACCCCCTACCCTCTTCTTAAATTAAATCTCAAGAATTTCACACTAAACGATATTAAAAATTGTATATTTTTATGTTCTATGTGTACATATATACGTGCGTATATACATGTTTATCGCGATATAAGACACACGGCTTCATTTTGTTGGTAGCTCCAGTTGCGTTCAGGAGATATCCTGAAGGTCTTCACAGAATGTGTGAAGCTTTTACTGGCTCGTTGGGAATGTTCCAAGAAATAATTATAGCACAAATAGATGAGCTGGTATCGGCGAATGCCGATAATCTTAATTCGTCGAGTACATTTAAGGGAAAAAGAACCATTCACTTCTACCGATTGATCTTTATTGCCACGTTTATTACGAACTTGCTCCTGCAGACTCATTTTCTACCTTACACAGCACGCGTAAAAATGAGTTTCTCCAGTATTTTATAATAACAATAAAAATGTTCAGTCAGCTAGAATTTCCGGTCAGTAAAAGCATATATTAGACCTTCTAAGATACGTTGCACTATAATTATGTTTCAATTTGTATTAAAGTGTTATGTTTAGCTGAGTCATTTTATTTGATCGTTCGCTAATTACGTCTAGACCTGTGCCCGACACAATGACGGTCAATATTTTCTATTTCACTTTTTTATGAGCTTTGTCTCGTTCCTTCGATGTCTTATTTATGCGCACAATTTATGTTTGTACGTTTTACACCCGCACTTTTCCCGTCCATCGAACCCACACGAATCTCTACAATCGATAGACTTGTATTACATACATGTACCTCACACAAAAGTAAAACACATGGTTAAGAATACATATATATAATTTACTGTTAAAAATTCGCAATAGAAAGACGAGGAGTTCTGCAGATCTTCACGATAGACTTTCAGAGGAAGAAAATCAAAGTAAAAATAATTGCGCGAGTGCCTGTGATCTATGCGGACAATATGCAATAATAATTTCTGAACGCGTTAGCATGAGTATGGTTATTCTTTCGTCGTGTACAAAGTCTCGATCCCTTGCGTGTTAGATTTAATTCCACTGACCCTAAAGTGCATGACACGATCCGCGAGCTATCTCTTTCCCCTTCTTTCAATCATCAGGCCGGCTCTTGATTTTCTATTCACCAAATTACACTATTGGGATCCTCTTTTGATTGTAGATTGTGTGTAAGAAAATACGGTGGCGTATAATCGGACCAAATGGTAATGGGACTGCTTGGAAAAGAGTAATCGATCCCACTAATATTTACACGAACTTCGTTTTCTATGCTCTTTGCGCATACATACCACAGTGTCACAGATTAACACAGACTATCGTATGTTCATTTGGTTTGCTATGGTATTACATGTTACGGTGAAAGTATCCAGTTAAGTAGTGCAACGAGATCTCCGATGCTTCTACAGAATTGCTGCAAGAAATCGCGATTAGTCACTAGCTAGATCCAGCTCTCTGTACATAATCAGACAAAGGGAATTCTTTGCACCGATGCTAGACTTGGATGAGATAATGGTATTTTATTTGCACAAGTTTCGTTTCATTGTAATGTATAATTATCATACTTGATCTATTGCTTTCTTTCAGATTAAGTCCAGATTAAGATCTCCACTTGTGTAATTTAGAGTGTGCAAAGAATTTGAATTAATTGCTTTCACGGTAGCATGTATAATTCCTGCGTGCGTATAATCTGATTACATGTAATCATTTTCTGGGCGAACCGGAAGTGTTCTATTTTTGGCTTGGATAAACCTCAGACTTGCATTAGGTGCAGCAAACGACTAATTTACAAACTCACGTCTGTCTTTCTCTGTGTCATTCGGTTCTCCAGCAACTGAAGAATATGCCCGCGGAACTGTCGCCATTTCTCTTCTCTGTTTAGAAATCCGGCGGAGATGTTACACACGTGCCGTGGCACGATATCCTTGCACGGGGCCTTAATACACACCGTGGACGCTTGCACGTTCGTTGTGAGCAACGGTGGCACGCAAACCTTCCATATCAAGGCAGCGACAGAGGTAGAACGTCAGCAATGGGTCACGGCCCTCGAGTTAGCGAAGGTCAAGGCTATCCAGGCCATGGAATCTGGTCTGTATCAAGGAATGATCATCCTATTGCTATTACGCATTTATGACAGAGAGAAAGAATCAATCGTTAACTTTATTGATCATGTGGTAATTTAGGTAAAAATTTGGATTGGGATCTTCGGCTGAAGATTTCAGAGAGTCGGGCGAAATTAGTGAACGTAAAAAGAGGGAAGAGACCTCTTAAAAGGAAGAAATCTAATCATCCGGTAAAAGAAATGATTTTGTAATCTCCAATCTTCAAACTGCATTGAATCTTGAATTCTATTCGAGAACTATGATGGTCGTATTTATTAGACTGATTGAACAGTAGGTGGCTCTTATTGTGATTATTAGATTTGCAAATGGTATTAGCCGGCCGTAAACGATATTAGCAATTTAGTGGCATAACTGAGTAGTTATCTGTAAAGTCTGATAAATAATACCCAGCTAGAATTTTATAACTGATTCTTTCTCTCTTATATTTTACTGGATGCTGATTCTGGCTAGGAATCAATTGCTATCTTCAACCAATGAACCTATTAACAGTTTGCAAGCTGTATAAAATAGCATTAAAGTCAATTGACTATAGTAACTCTTCTAACATGTACACCATTGATAGCCAGTACATTTTTTCACGCAGTGGTAGTTAAATGATGATTTAAGGCACGAGATACAATTATATAATAATGTAAATCTTTATTGCAATTTAGAGTCAGATACAATTAATTCATATGTTTTTAATGACTGATCATTCTGAATATTGTTTTATTTAGAAGGGTAAAATATTCGATTATTTGTTATACAAAACAGATCTCAATTTTAACAACTGTTATCTAAAGATGTGTTATATTTCATGATATGTAAATTATAATTAATAATGAGCAAACAATTTTTACAGAATAATCGATTTCTTTCTTAGAATTGTACTATCGCTTTCAATAGTGTTTCAAAGATATTGGAATGTTCGAAACTCTAGAAACTTCCTAGTAATTAAAACGTTTGAATAAAAAGATAACGTACAAGGAAGTCAAAGCGATAAATCAAACAAAGAGAAAGACAGCACGTTCCATTGCGAATAATTAATACTTGATCTACATTTATCGTGTGTTTTCTTTTGTTATCGATGTTCATGGCTGTATAGTAATTTTTTGTATTCACTAAACAATGTATATGAGTATTTATATATTTGTAATTTGATATGCTCATCTACCCGTTTTATCTTCAACCTATAAATCATAACTCGCAACAAATTGACTCAGTCGCTTAATTAAGTGTACTTTCGTATCGTCATAAACTTTTACGTGATGTTGAGTCATAGATATGTCCTCTTTTTGGATATATCTCTGCAATTTTTAAGGCTAAAGCTGTTAATTTGTAGTTAAATCTAGTATATATTGTCAACAATAATTCAAGCGATATAATAATAATTGGAAGAATGAAAAATTTAAAGTTAGTCGCTTTAACTAGTTTGTTAGTCCTACTGTTAATAAAATATCGGTTGAAGATTCAATGAAAATTGTATTCTTTGTAAGAAATGTTAAAACAGTTATGTTATGTAAGGTTAAAATTGATTTCAGAAGAAGAGGAGGAAGAGTTCCAGGTTATCGACATTCAAAAGCCAGAACAAGTCTCGGTGAAGGACTTGTCTCAACGTTTAGAAAACTTGCAGGCCTGTAATGATTTACTAATAAAGAGAGGAACCATGCTTCAACGAATTTTAAATGAACTCGAAGCATTGGAACCTCCGTCGGTTGAATTAGCAGCGAAAATAAAGACAGTCAGTGAACGGGCCACGCTTTTTCGCATCGCGGCCGGTGCTATGGTTAATGTAAGTTGAAAGGCCTTCGTTAAGATTAATATACTCGTGAAAAATTTCTGGCCAATGTATAAAATTAGCCTATTCGTTGTGCAGAGCAACTATATTGCGTTAGTGCTAAATATCGTATTCAAGAAGTCTGTATAGGATAATTGAGTTCTTTCAACAATTTTTAATTTAACAGTATAATTTTTTATGTCATTAGTTTACAGAATACTAGTCATTTACGATATTTTTGTCAAATTTTATTGTAAAAAAGATTATTCGATTATTATTAATTATGAAGTATCAAATGGTTTTAAAGGTATAACGATCGCGTAGAAAACTAGAGCGATTTCTGATTTCAGGCAAGCAATGAATATTTGCAACTAGCTCAGCAACAAGAACCAAAGTGGAAGAAAATGCTGCAACATGAGCGTGATCAAAAAGAACGAATAGAAAAAATGGTTGAACAATTAGCTAGACAGCACTCTCATTTGGAAGAGGCTGCACAACACGCCTTACCTTCGGCAGTTCCAGGAGGGGGGCACAGGCCTTCGCGTAATAATTCTTTTTTATATTAATACGATTGGTAATGCTGTAATTAGTTTTTTGGTGCAACGATGTGAGGTACTGTTGGGTATGGTGATGCTAAAAAGGACTAACTTCAATACTCGTTTATTGTTCACGCTGTGTCAAAAACCTTTGTACTTTGTTTGGATAATGCTCTGATTGTGTTATAGACCTTTTTAACTTTGTAACATTGACTGAGACTCTAATAGAAATGTAAGTTACACACGCATAGTTACATGTGCTAGTATCTGCTAGTCAATTCAGTGAGTGATGCTGTATTTATCCGATGTTAGTGCACAGCTACATATTTGCTTACTACATACACGACTGCTTGTTGACAACGCTTTCTTGTGTAGCACGTGCATTTGAGTTTTCGCGCCTTCGTGTGCCTTATCGTTCTCTAACCAGATGGCAGTCGTGAAACTCCACTTGATTTGAATGGTGTCCTAACTTATATAGCTTAAAGTCTATGCATGCAAGACGTGCAGTATATTTTACTATATTGTATGGCATATTACAGTAATGTATACAAGGCTTATATGTACATTTACATACATATAGATATATATACATATATACATACGCACGGGTATGCTTTCATTTCTCCCAAGTTTGGTGCTTAATCAGACCTCAGATGGCCTTGCGAATCCGTTTTGTACGAATTTTTTTTGACAGTTTTTTTTCGTGCTTCCACCATTAAATTTAATGTGATAAACTGAACCGAGTGTCGAAATTCTCAACGACTGTGTTTGAAAGAATCAGTGAAGAAATGTTAAACCGATAGTTAAACGGAGTGAAGGGGAAAAGTTTGTCATCAACAATTCATAACGGTCCGCAGCTTCAATCAAGTTTTAGCAAGAGCCAAATACATGAGAGCGCCAAATTGATCTTCGAACATAGCATAACCTAATGCGTGGTACATTGTAGTTGCCTGTAAAAAAATCAGTGTACGAGCATCTTTAGTGATTCCATTATCCGTTACTTTAACCAGTACTGCAGGTGTGGACCGATATTGGAGGGGGTAGAGGACGGTATAATTTAATGGCAACAGTAGTTGTCGTACCACGATTTAATCGGTTAGAGAGGGTAGTGATACGAATAATAAGAATAGAGGTGGGGTTAAAATATATTTTGAAACGGTGAAATAGTGTATTAAATTTAAATAGTGACATGTGTGGTTATATAGGTTTACAAATTTCTCGTTCTTTCTGTTATATTTTTCGTTGGCGCGAAATATACGTTTCATTGCGTAATCATAATGATAACTTTTCCTATATTTTCCATTCGCGTATCGCGTTTTATTTTTAATTTTAAGATATAATATAAATCACGATAAACGAAGATTTCTTATCAGTTTGAAATTTGTAATTTGCTATAAGATTGTAATTGAATAACTGTTTTATTGATCAACTAAATCTCATTTAGCTCTGCATATATATGTTACTTATTTAATTATCTGTTTAGTGTAACTAAGTAAAATTTTGGTTATGGTTATAGATACAACAGTTACAACTTCTCCATCAGAAGACGAAGAAGATAATGCAGAATTTTATGATGCACAGGAATCTGATACTTTTACTTTAAGTATACCTGGTGTCCCAGCAAATAATTCAAGAGATCGAACTGACTCTCAAGGTAGTGATGATGGCTCTAGCTCAGAAGGAGATCAGACACCTTTGCCCTTGTCAGACACTGCTACTACGAACTCCTTTCGCATTGTGACCGATTCTACAGTAGTAACTCCTACCACTGCTGCAAATACAGACAATCTGGACAATGTAAGTGAATCTTGTTTACCATTTAATTATAGAACTTTAATTAAACTAACATACAATTAATTTTATTAATTTCCATCAAATTTTATGCATTTTATATTAGACAAATTGGGAATCCAACAATGGCAGCAGTGGCAGCACCGGGGTAACAGGTTTTAAACGAAAACGGAGAATCAGGGTACCTGATAAACCAAATTATCCATTAAACTTATGGAGTATCATGAAAAATTGTATTGGCAAAGATTTGTCGAAAATTCCAATGCCTGTCAATTTTTCTGAGCCACTTAGTATGCTTCAACGGCTTACAGAAGATTATGAATATGCAGATATTCTTGACAGGTATTTTGTATTCAAATTTGTATTAAATTGTTAGATAATATAAATAAAAGAAATATTTATTGTAATTCTTTGTAGGGCAGCAGAATGTACAGATAGCTATGAACAAATGGCTTATGTTGCTGCATTTACTATATCTAGTTATTCCACAACTTCTTCCAGAACAGGCAAACCTTTTAATCCTTTATTAGGTGAAACGTATGAATGTGATCGCGTTGATGATTTAGGATGGCGTGCAATTTCAGAACAAGTGTCTCATCATCCTCCGATGTTGGCGCAACATTGCGAGGGTCGAAAGTGGCGTTGTTGGCAGGAATTTACCATGGCATCTAAATTCCGTGGAAAGTACCTGCAGGTAGGTTTCATAAATCTTTCTTAAAACAATCTTTTGCCACATTGTAAATAAATATGTAATACTTAATGCTGTTACATATTATTGTAGGTAATACCATTAGGAACTGCACATCTTGAAATGGACGACGGTACACAGCATTATACGTGGCGAAAAGTTACTACTACTGTACACAATATTATAGTAGGAAAATTATGGGTTGATCAAAGTGGTGATACAGACATTGTAAATCATAAACAAGGTATCAAGTGCCATTTGAAATACACGCCCTATTCATATTTTTCGAGAGACAGTCAACGTAAAGTCAAGGGGGTAGTCATGAATTCAAGCAATGAAGTTAAATGGGTAGTACAAGGTACGTGGGACTCAAAGATAGAAATCGCTCCTGTGATTAGTACATCTGGTACGCCAGATAATCCAGTATACAAAACAGGGCCTTACATACTCGCTTGGAAGCGTCGTATGCCACCGTGAGTATTTAATTACTATTTACGTTCAATACAAATTTTACAGTTTTTTTATATATTATAATATTTCTATTTTCACAGTGAAGATTGTGAAAAGTATTATAATTTTACCGAATTAGCGTGTCAACTTAATGAGCCTGAGGAAGGTATAGCTCCAACAGATTCCCGATTTAGGCCTGATCAAAGATTAATGGAAAATGGCGAATGGGACGAAGCAAATGCAGAAAAACTTCGGTTAGAAGAAAAGCAAAGAACTGTTCGTCGTGCTCGGGAACATGATGCTGAAAAAGCAGCCGCTCAAGGTATTGTTAAATATCTTTTAAACTAATTTAAAAAAAAAATTGTGTAACAGTCAAATATTTCATAACTGAAAATTTATTTTATGTTAGGTTTACCATATGAAACTTATGAACCTTTATGGTTTAAGAAAGAGCAGGATCCATATACGGACAGTCTGTGTTACGTATACGGTGGTGAATACTGGGAGTGTAAGAGTAAAGGTGATTGGTCACGATGTCCAAACATATTTTAGCTTATTATATAATTATATAAATATTGTGACCGCCAATATACAGTGCAGAAATATTTGGATTTGTTTTAAGTGAAGATAGTCGATTTTAGTCGATCACTGCTTCTAAAGAAAAAAAAATGCTGACATGATATAGTGGGTTTGTTAGGTGACATGGTTCAGTCATTATTTCTTCCAATGAACTGGTCGAAGTTGGCATTCTAACACATAAAACAAGCGTTTTTGTAGTATGTCATTGTTTCCATTCTCCTACATATCCTTCTGTCTCTTTATATTACCGTTGCATTAATCTTTTATCCATTTTTCTAAACAACCAAGAATATTATTGTATACAATCCACATGGCCCAATCAATGCTTTGCATACAATGTTTATATAGACTTAAAAATTTTCTGTATTATTAGGTTCCATTACTAAGCTAAATGTATCATAATACATTCGCAAAAGTTGAGATATAATTAATAAGTAAATAATTTGCGAAAATTTTGTTAATTCAGTACACAACTGAAATAGCAATAAGATTGATAATTTTTATTACGAGAACATTAATACATTAGAAATTAAAACTATAGTTACTGGAAGTTTAAGTTGAATACGAGAACCCACTTAATATAATTACAGTATTCATAATTTGTTCTAAACGAATTTATATATATTTAAATCACATTTTTTTTAGAAATGGAACTGAATTCGTGAGTTCCAAAAAACCGATCGTAACAGCAACTACGGAAGATTGCCATAACTGTCTGATACACGATTATCACGTATCCATCGCGGAAAGTACTTACATAGACTGTAAAATGTATTTTTGATGCTTGACGCGATGCTGAGGATATTTAAAAAAGAATTGAAAACAAATTTATAATAGTATTGCTGAGTAAATCAGAAATAAGACATAATCGCGTTGAATATGTTTAAAGCCTTACTGAATTATTTAAAGTAGATATTGATAGGTGACACGTTTTTACATATTGGTTATTTACACGTGTGGTGCGGCCAGACTGTTCATTCGACTGCCACGTCTTAACCTTTGCACAAAAATTGGATAAGAAGCGGCACTCGTTTACGTTGATACGACAATCTGTAACCGCTACGAAAGAAATGTTCCTGCGGATAAAGTGTTCGTAACAACGAGAGAATTCAATATGTTGAGATTTAATCTCAATGATTCATACGAAAGTAGTATTTGTACTACTAACATACAACAAAATAAGAAAGAAGAAACAGATGATATAAATGAGTATGCTTCCAAATTTCTGCAATTTTCCATGCAGGCGTAGACTATTGAATGTTCCACAAAATATTGACTGGTTATCTAACCAGTCTAATTACTATACACTCCGTCGAGCTAATGTTACAAAACATAATCAATATTATTACGGGAAGAGTGTGAAAAGAGTTTAATGTCATATTGAAAGGCTCATAAGTTATAGTAAATTGTTCTTTTTCTCCAAATCTTTCTTTTTTTTCCTTTTTTTCCTTTTATTCTTTTTGTAAAGAAATCGCTTCAACTCAACCATTACCACTCATTAAAGCTGAAATCCTTTTTCCAAGCTACAGTATGTAGAGACGCACACATCCATACACAGGTACAAACTGCGCGAATGATTGCGTACGTGCGTATGTATGTATGTATGAATGTATGTATGATGATGTTTGTATGTATGTATGCATGCATATATGTATGCCCGTATGTACATATGGTAATTAATAAAACCTATTGTGTATCCCTCTTATGAGCACATCATACAGTTGTTCCGTTCATAGTATTTGTATATTGATAACTATATATTTCAGTCTGTATAGGACGATATTAAACGGAACATCTAGCTTGCAACCAATGTTTACAATGATTGTTATAATTAAGTATTTGGCTGTATTATAATTTTAATAGTTGATTATAACCAGATATATCTGTATACATATAAATACAAATTAACTATAAAATAAATAATTTAAAGAAAATACAATAAGACGGATAGAACAGATGTTTGAATTATATAGTGCTTGTACATTAGCTATTCGTGTGGAACGGTAAATACAAAATGCTTCGCTACAAAATCGAAAATATCTTCGTAGCATTCACATAATTTGCCTTTTGGCATCTCCTATGTAACACCCGTTGGTCGCACAAATGGTGCAATTATTTATACGATAAATAACCGTAGTCTTTTGTTCCATCAAACAAATTGTATTGATTTATTGTAACAAATTAAAAACGATCTTGAACGGGTAATATTTATCGTTGAATATTTCATTGCTATCCAGTGGTTGATCCATTTACTTATCGTTACTGAAAATCATGATTTGATATCTCGCGCGCTACAATGGAATACACTGGAATGTTATTTTGTTTCGTTTTAGTTTACTTTTTATTCTAACGCGAAATTATTATCTTTTATGTAATTTTTATTACTTCTATCATTTTTATATTATGAAAAATAAAGTCAATTTCTATTGAACATAAAGAAAGTTTGTTATTAAAATTGATTTAAAATGAGAAACGGAAAAATGTTTGATCTTGAATGACTAGTTTATCAAAAATTTTCTCTTTTATTCAGTGTTTCTCGCGATTAGTTCCATGTTCCAATAAAGTATAGCCATTGATTTTATGACGTATAAGTTAAATATATACTAAGAATTTCTTGTTTATCATAATTAAGAAGAAGACAACGTGATAGATACGCCGATATTTTCATTTCTACAGTTTTACCGGATATTCGGTGAATTTAACCGACATGCGCGCGGCGTCAGTAACGGGTGACGTCACGCGTAGTAATACACGCCGAGAGCGCATGGCGAGTGGAGCGTCTGCAGAGGCTGCGCGAAGTGGGAACTGCTTTCGATTGTTGGCGGGCGCCGCCATCTTGGTCAGTGAGCTTGCGAGTGGCTGTACGACGAGGTGTACGTATTTCGGTGAAACGAGTATTTGGTGCGATTTCCCTGAAACCTTTCGTCTACCCGTGAAATCCACGAGCATCCAAGATGTCGGAACGGGAGGACAACGTTTACAAAGCGAAATTGGCTGAGCAAGCGGAGCGCTATGACGGTGAGTACATATTTTCCGGGAAAAGGACCCGGCCTGCGCCAAAATGAAATCCACGAAATCGACACAAAGCACTGCTACAAAGAGAAAGGAGGTAGCACCGCCCTCGTGACGTGCCGACCGTACGATTTCATGGGATATATAACGAGTTCCTTTGAGAACCGAGAACCTCAAACTGTGATCGTGTCTCATTGGATCTGTCAAAAGTCTGTGAAACGTCAAATATGACTAATCCGCACACGGTAGTGACCAAGTCGCCGGTTCACAACCGGTGTTTCTTTATTAAAGGGTAGGTTTGTTCTTAGATTCTGTCACTGCTTCGTCAGAGCCTGTCAAGATACGCAAACTCTCGAGAGCCCTTTTAAAGGATCGGTCGGAATGCCACAAAAAGGTTTCGCCGTTTCCGAGTTACATTGTTTCATCGAAACAAGCTGGCTAACGGCGAGACAGCGTTGCTAGGCGTGCTGTGTTCAGTACATTACGGGGTCCCTCGGCAGATAACCAGACAAGTCGGTCCTTCACCGACGTGTATGACGCATAGACACGGCACGATACTTACCAATCGCTGCCAGGTTACTCCTTAGACACGTAGTAACGCGTGCTCTGCTCGTGGCATTTGGCCTTGAAAGCAGAGAGAAATCATTTGGTCAATCGACCGACCGATCTATAGAATCGACAATAATGCTTTTCGAAAATTGTCTTGCATTTTTCTTCGTGGTTTTCATCCATGACGTATTTTCTTAAGTAATATTCCGTATTACGCAGTATGTGTTCTTAATAATTTTGGCTGCAGAAATTTTTACTTTGCTTCTGGCGAAAGCAACGTGTAGTGGGGACATACATTGCGGTAGAAGGGGAAATCGTCAAATCTCTTCGTTTTACAAACCTCTCGTTTTGCATTTCTCCCTAGATAAATTTTATGCAGCGCGTTTTGTCTCGTGGGATGTTATCAAGCCTGCAAATCAAGTACACGCGTTTGACATTTTGCGGAAGCGCGATGTATCTTCATGCAAATTTCCTGTAACTATTCGGTGACTCGTATTTCTTGCAAACTGGTCTCGTTATAGGAACAAACGTATTTGTACAAAACCGTATTTATGGATTACAATATCATTTTTTTTTTTTTTTTTAGGTGTTGACTGAAGGAATTTGTTTCAATAAATTTCTTATGTACGTACATATCGTAACTAAATAATAGAAATTATCTCGCCTTGGAATATCTAAATTCATTTTATATTTCACTCGACAAGAAATTACCAACAATTTTATTAGACCTTTTCAAGGTTGAAAAGCAAGGAAGAAAGTAACCAATGAGATGGGCAAATGTACAGTGTCTTTCCATTCATCTCGCTATACTGCTTTTCATAATTCCGTCGTTTTCGCCGCTGCATGAACACGTTAATCGAGACAGGCATATTAAAGGGTGGAAATACTGGCATATAGGAGATCCCAGTTGAAACGACCGCTAAGCGTGAAGAATGACAGGGCAGAAGGGAGAGGAGCTGTTGCGACTCTCCCGGGATGAGGAGAAGGAAGGGCGGTGGGCAAATTTGAGGGTTGCAAGAGCAAGACACGGAGGGGAACGAGGAGGGGGAGGAAAGGACGACGGCGGGCGAGATTACGAGTGGAGGGTGAGAACGGGAAGGGGTGAGATGTTCAGCAGAGTGGGGGAAAAGAGGGGCCATAGCAGAAGGAAAGTATTGATCTGTACTAGCTATCCTACGTTTCTGTACACCTCCGTCACTGGATATACTGTGTTCACAGTAATTCTTGCCGCCCGGAACCATCATGAACTTGAGTCTGATCTCTTCTCATAAATGTCACCATGAAATCTCTCTTGATTTTAATCGAACAATAATAAAGGAAAAATATACATTAATTCTCTCTGTGATTCGAATATTTATGCGCTGAATGGCCTATAAATTATGCGACCGATTTTCTTCGTGGACCTTATGTTCTTCGAATTATAACTGATTATTCTTTTCTTTTAAACGATGAATCTTTTGATGCAGTATCTTTTTTTAACGAATTGAATTATAGGTATACTATAGGCAATTTTGCAGCAGTACAAATTTGAGATTTTTAATTATATTTATTTTAAATAACAGATTACGTATTCCGGAAATGAAGGTTCATATTCGTCATATTCGACGATTTTGTTCAGTTTCGTGTTATTATACGCCGCCATAATAATTTTTGCAGCCACCTATCGATCTTATCGTGCAACTATAGGTTTGAATAATATTTAAAAATGTAATATAGAGAAAGTATTAGAAATCGTTGGAATATTTTTGTGAGTTATACAAATAATGAAACCCAGACGAAAGCACGTGTACCTAGATCGATATCATTATTCTCGAACATCATATACCTGTAGATAATAAATACATAATACTAACCAACTACCTCGCAAAGTTCAAGGGGCAGCAGGTTAATATATGCTTGTGCGCTAGTCTTTCTCGCGCAGAGTCCTCTCTAACATCCCAGATGAAACTAATAATATATCCACACATAGGGTAGCCACGTATTAATAATCAATAGATCATTTCCGATTCATTACTTTGCCATGATTGCATGTAATATACCTCGGTAAGTTCGATACCTTTAATGAAATATACGCCATACTTTTACCTTTTAATTTTCACCATTTTGTTGTGGGACAAAATTTCCATAATTTCAAACTTCTAATTTAATCTCGGTCGTAAAATATTCATTTTTTAACGACTGTATCTTATCTATTTTAATTTTTTTATCTTATCTGTGCACCTTTTTGATTCTTTATATATTTTTTATACTATTTATTATCGTTTAATTTTCATTGCTTTTCAATTTAATGACATGTTCATCGACGGCGACGCTCTCGCCGGCGTGATTTTGCAGAAATGGTCGAGGCGATGAAGAAGGTCGCCTCGCTGGATGTGGAGCTGACCGTCGAAGAGAGGAATCTCCTTTCTGTCGCCTACAAAAATGTAATTGGCGCGAGGAGGGCATCCTGGAGAATAATCTCTAGCATTGAACAAAAAGAAGAAAATAAGGGCGTCGAGAGGAAGCTGGAGATGATCCGCCAGTACCGATCTCAGGTTGAAAAAGAACTGAAAGACATCTGCGCAGAAATCCTTGGTGTTTTGGACAAACATCTGCTCCCGTGCGCGTCCTCCGGCGAGTCAAAAGTCTTTTATTACAAGATGTAAGAGAATCTACGATCCTCGACCCTTATCTTCGAGTAGAAAATTAATTTTCCCCACAATTTTATACCTGGATCACGTGGGGCATTTATTATTACCGATTGTAAAATTGCTTAAATTATATTGCAAAATCGAGAAGGTAGAAACTTAAAACAACGTACAAGTTTCTGATTGAACAGTGTGATAACTTAAATTAAAAGGTAACCAGCAACACGGAAGAACGTTCCGTTTCGGTCACTGATTTTTGAGGTATATTGTTTTCTAAAACTTTCAGCCGTCTGTCTTGATAATTGCACTCCTTAGTGGATTTGATTCATGAATAAGCGCAAACATTTGATTTTATTGTTTTAATAGGAAGAAATTATGAAAATTATAAAAGAATATTAGTACATGGTATTATAAAGTATGCCATGTGCTAGATATAAATTAAAGAAATTAATAATAAGAACAAATTTTTCATGCATTAAGCTTGGTACGTTTTTATAAAGTTAAGTTAAGAAACTTGCCTTCTGTATATTTTACTAAGGTTTTCTACTCGATGATTGGCACGATTTAAATTTGATATAAATTAAATTCTTCTCTGTCAAGTCTGTTTATCACTTCAAAACGTTGGCTTGTTATTATAGGAAGGGCGATTATCACCGCTACCTTGCTGAATTCGCCGTCGGTAACGACAGGAAGGAAGCGGCAGAGAACTCTCTGGTCGCTTACAAAGCAGCGAGCGACACCGCCATGACGGACCTGCCACCGACTCATCCCATCCGCTTAGGATTGGCACTCAACTTCTCCGTGTTCTATTATGAGATCCTCAATAGCCCAGACAGAGCATGCCGTCTCGCGAAGGCGGCCTTTGATGACGCGATCGCGGAACTAGACACCTTGTCCGAAGAGAGTTACAAAGATTCTACCCTCATCATGCAGCTTCTCAGGGACAATCTTACTCTGTGGACGTCGGATATGCAAGGAGACGGTTAGTATACCTTTTCGTGAAAAAAAAGCGCTCGTTGCGTTTAAAACGTTCACCACCACTACTAGGCTGTAGAAGCAGCGTCGCACGATCAATAATATGTATTGCAGCAGCGCGATAAAATCTTCTCGTTATATCAGATTTTTTCACAAGGCAACAGAGTTGTGTAGAGGAAGTACAGTGATTTTTATTAACGATATGTTACCAGAACGAACTTATATTTTATGTAAAGCGAAACAAAGGTAATACATTCCAAAATTTTGGCAATTGAGGGACAGAAGTTCAGAATAAGATGGTAAAATCTTTTATACCAGATTCAAGTTTTTGATTGTGTTACTCTTTTAGTTAATTGTATGATTTCATAATGCAATAATATCGTGGACATCATATGTGTATATATATATATATATGGGTCAAGATAAATTGGTCTGTAATTTAGAATTCGAAGCTGATCGCGAAAATGAGGCTGCGGCCGTTTCCACCAATGCTTGAATTCAGGCACACTCTCTCCAACTCGCCCTTGCACTATAAAATCACCTGGTGAGCAACTCAATCGATCCTTCTCCTTCTTTCTCCTTACCCGTTTAGATCCTTTTATTAGTGGGGTAGGGTCAAAATAACACACACCCAGATTTTGATTAAGAATTGATTCGACCCTACCCTACCTGTTATATAATCGGTATCTTATCGTGTCTAAGCAAAACATGTTTGTTAATTAATTGTTTTCTTTTTTTTTATTGCGCAGGAGAGGGCGAACAGAAGGAGCAGTTGCAAGATGCGGAAGATCAGGATGTATCGTAACTCTAACTGTAGTGAGTGTTATCTTGCGCATATAAAACTGAAAAAAAACACAAGAAAGCAAAAAACTCTTAATAACTTGTAAGCAAAAGAAAACAATTCAGCAGGTGGCAGTTCGGGGTGGGAAGGGGAGATCTTTAGCGATTGCGTGACCCTAAGCACGCACGTACGGTTACTCCAAAAAAAAGAAAAAAAAAACACACACACAAACAAAAATGAAAAAATATCATTCGGAATAACACATTGAATTACGGAGCGCGCAGAAAAGTATAACAAAGTAAAAGGACATGCACTCTGCGGTAAATAGAGAGACTGCAAGAGCATTTAGCGAGGCACTATTCTTTGCCTTCTTTGCGTATCGAGAAGAAAAAATGCTGTCTTTTTTAGTGGACGATGTCGAGAACGTTGAGTTGACACCGACTGATGGAGCGCATATATATTTACCCATATTAATTAAAAAAAAAGAACACGAAATGAAAGGAAAGAGGAATTGCGCTAATACAGTCGGTATAAACTCTCATTTTTGTTGGTTTCAGTGAGTGAGAACGAATAGCATTATCCCCCACCCCCTCATAACGTTTCACCAATAATGAAACATGTTAATGGCTCGACGTCGATCGAAGTGCATATTGTGTTCGTTTGTTTTCACCCACCCCAATCTCCTCCTCCTCGTCCTCTTCCCCGCTTTTTTACTGCGCGCATCATTACTCTCGCATACTATGATAAATAACGATATTATTAATGTATGCGTGTAAATCGAGTGTAAATCATCTGTTTATCTAAGGGATAAACGCGTCTCCTTCAGAGCTGGAGTTACGTGGTTGATCGATGGCTGTTAAATAGCCAAGATTGAACCACGCACCTTCATCTCTGTTTTCTGTATAAGATATTATGAATGTACTTCCGACGAAGTGTCCCGGGTTTGCAAAGCAAGTAATTTCATACACCATATAGATCACGATCATGGGTTCTCTCGTGTAGTCATTTGTAAACAATTCCAGAACACGTGCTTACCGCGAAAGCGTCGTACTTAAAAAATGCAATAACATCGATCTGTCTTAAGTCTGGCTTTCGCAGTATTAAATTTTATGTTAAATCGAAAAAATGATTCTTTTAATTGTGATTGAAAAGAAACATACACTGTTCTCGACGTGATAGATGTTCTTTTATATATCAATCAGTCGTGTTCCTCGGTAACAAAAGAACATCATGATTGTCGAGGGTAGGGTGAGAAAAATTACGATAAATCAGCATTTTTAAAAGGAAAAAGATTAAAAAAAAAGAAAAGAAAAGAGAAATTACATTTCACAGACAGGAAATAACAGGAAATATGTAGCTATCTAGCTAGTCTGTAATTGTGGTTGTACTTTTTCATACGCCCCCTGTGTAAACTATAACGATCGCTGTGGTATAACGAATTACAGAATAAACGATTGTATCCCGATTCTTTCTTCACCCGCGCTCACTTTTCGCTATTATCACTGTCCTCGATTCCACTGTATCTTAGTTGATCTTAGCCGTGCGTTCATTCACCTTTTTATCGATGAACCATTCCGTCGATTTCCGCTTACTAGAAAAACGGAAAACATTCCAATGAAAATGATAGATATCTTCGTTCATTACTCTTTACGTGAAATTTCTTTGCGCATCTTAACTGAGGTAAGCTTAGCGATAAATTATAGAATTATTCGTTTGTCAAAGTAAATAGTGTCGGTCGAAAATTTGTTATCGGTATTGTAAAAGAATCCTCAAGTACAATGTTTCTATATCAAAGAATACCAATGTCTGTGTAATTACAAATACAAGGAAGCTATGTACGAGGTTGCGTAGCGGATATCTCGGACGAAAGAATAAGTTTCTGACCGTCACTGTGTTACGCATAGGAAGAAAAAAGCCGAATCCGTGCAGTTTTCTCTCGCGATCATAAAATGTCGAAGATGTTCCGTAAACCGTGTAAGCGTGCAGCAAAAAAGCGAGGTGTATACCTGACAGAAAAACAAAAAAAAAAAAATAACAAAGGCGAAGGGAACGCGCAAATGAAAAAATCGAGAGCTCTGCCTAGAAATTTTTGGTGTACATCGTGCCCCTGTATTTAGGTATTAATAACACGATACAAATTGATAATCATGTTATAAAATAACGTTACAAAGAATAACTCAAAGTAATATCAACGGCACCGTAAGTAAGTATATGCGAGTAATCTTAAGATCGTAAAATTAGGGTATCGAAGGGAGAAAAAAAGAATTTAATCGACGTGAATTGTTCAAGCGATAATGTGGAGAGAAGCAAACAGTTTAGAGCGTATCGTGAAATGAAAAGCAAACACCATCCAGAAGTAATTTTGATAATCTATGCGAAAGGCACTGTGTAAGGTAAATGGAACCGTAGATAGAGGGATGAAGAACAGTGGAGGAGCAGAGAAAACATCGGACTCATCGGATAAGAATTGCATATAATATATATTATATATATATATATATATATAGTTTACGTAAATACGTAATACATGCATAAAACATACCACGCGTACGAGCGACAAGTCTTGAAAGAAAGAGCAAAAAGAAACGAACAGAGAAATTTAAGGTACAATATAAAAGCTTGTCAGTGGCAACGAATGTGGCATAAAATTCCAAACGACGATAAACTGTGAGATACCTCATCCAATTACTTGCTTACACGATGGATTAAAAACAAGATGAAGTAGCCCAACGCGATAACATTATTATTATCGTCGCCGATGTAGCATGATTCATAATGAAATGAAGAAAAAAAAAACATTAATGTAGCGTGTTCTCGGTTAAAATAAATTAAAAATCGTAGATAGGCATTGATACCACCTGGGTTTCACTGTAGGATTATTAACGAAGAACGTAGGTGATCGGTGTATCGATTGAGACCGCTTTTATCCTTTATTCAGTATCGTTGTGCGTGCTTAGTCGATTTTTATAAAAAAAAAAAAGGGAAAAAAAACAGGAAAGAAGAAGGTAAAAGGAATAACACACACTACATACACATCTATTATTCCATCTCTCTAGATGTACTACTTGCTCTTGTCTCTGTATTCTAAACATTAGTTGTGTATCTCTTTCTCTTTCTATAATTACCTTCGGATCATTCCATCTTGTCGCTAACCCAATTCACGAGAGCGAATAATTAGACTTGGATATCAAAATTTATCGTCATTTGGAGGAGGCTAAAATCTGTCATTTCTTTTTTCGGATTCGTATGCGTTCTCACGCTCTGTACTACTACTATTACTACTAACTATTACTACAATCAATGCGATTACACCGGATACGACCTTTTTCTGTAAAACCACACACACACGTGAAAGCTACAAATAAAGTAATTACAACTCTCTAATCGTTTCTTCGAATCTTTATTAATATTATCAAACACGAGTCAGAAACAATAATTAAATATAATAAAATATTCGTCGTATTGCAGTGTCAAACGTAAGTTCGAAACGAGTCATTTGAAATTATCGTCTCTAATGGCAATTTTAATGAGTTTGACAGAATCGTAATTTAATACATACAGAAGGTTCCGATGCCAATAGCAATTGAAGAAATGCATTATTACAGGGTATGAACTTTTAAGTACGACTGTTCTAAATGCACTCTACAAAATACGAGTATCTTGTTTCTATACATTAAGTTACAATTCTGTAAAAAAACATTCGTCATATTTATAGTCGTATGCTATTAAAAAAAAAAAAATTACATTCTTTTTATTCAACAACCCAATTTGCCCCCCTATTGTTTCTTCTTTTTTTTTCTTTTTCTCGTTAATTATGCAATAACTTAATCTTCTACAATTATATGTATGTATGTTCCAATATCGATCACATAAAATTACTTCAATCCACGACTGTCTGTGCCTAGTAATGCGTTTACGCAATCGCGGATTGCGTACTAGTATTGCCTTTCGTGCCCATACTCTGCGACTGATTATCTTTCCCGATAACGTTCTCACGAAAATTCGACGTATTCGATAACAGACGCCTTGGTCTGCGTCTGCTCATGTCCACCTGTTTTAAAATTCGTCCCAGCGTGTTGTCCGTGCCGGTCATAATCGGAGATAAACTGAGGCTCGGTGCAGTCCGCGATTTGATCATTCGACCGCTCCTCGGAGATCTCGCGATTTCGCTCGTTCTGCGCCTGGCAGACTTTAATTTTACGCTACGCAGCATATCTAAGGAAACCACTGGTCCCTTTGGTCCTGGTATGGTGTTCCTTCTAGTCTCCTGAAATGTACATTGTTTTCTTTCAATATTCCAGTTACGCTTAACACTAAACCTGCCATGGTCAAATAACCGGTGGATGGAAAGGGAGCAGAAGCTTTAAAAAAATGGAATAATGGGAGACACTGATCTTCCAATACGTATACTGCCACGAGAATAAGCGATTAAGGAGAAAACGTGGAATTTTAAATGAAAGTTTGGAAAATTACCATGGTAATTTAGACCATGATAGGTTTAACGTTAATGTACCTTACATAATTCAAGACTGAAATTGGTCCAATGAAAATGGAAGGTTTTTCAAAGCAATTTGGTGGCCTCGAATTCATCGATGACCCCAAAGTATTGCGAGCTCTTCCTCTTCCCAGATGTGCGATTCGTTTTTCAGACGCGAAGTTCACCTCGAGATGTTTAAATAACTCGTTATCGAAAAATATACGGTTGACAACATTATTCGAATGAGTGAACTTCACGAATACGACATCTGCCAAGTTTCGACTAACGGATGAAACTTGACTAATCGTGAAAGACGAAGAACAGCAATGTGTCAAGAACTCGAGCGACCTTAACCGAATGTTGACCAATCTCTCGATCTCTAGAGAGCTTCAACTTTCAAAGGACAGAGTTCTCCACACCTCTTGTTCATATACTCCAATTAACGGAGTGACGTGTAACAATCCTCGGATTTACCTTAACGTTCTGCGGTGCTTTTTTTAGGGTCACCTTCAGCAAATCCTCGACGGTTATAGCCGGCCTATTAAACAGCGGCGTCGAGCACTTTCTCGAGGGTGTTCTAACGCTTCTGCTGCTGTTTGGGGTAGTGGGTGTCATCGGCTGCACCGGTGACTGCAACGATGGAAATGGTGGAGGTGGTGGAGGCGGAGGCGGAGGTGGAGGTGGAGGAGGAGGTGGTGGTGGTGGTGGTGGAGGTGGAGGAAGATCACCAGATGACGTGACTGATGATACTAAAATTGACGGCATCGGGGGCGGTGGAGGCAATGATTTCATCGGGGACTTTGACTGCCAACCGTCTAGAATTTGCTGCAACTTCTTCAACTCCTGCATCAGCATCTCGTTACTTCCGGCCAACTTCTCGCTCACCTTCTGCATGCCACTGATCTCCGTGGTTAAAGCATCGAGCGCAGTTGCGTTACTTATACGCACCTGCGATTAAAAGTCATGGTAATAAGGCTGATTTAATGTACGAAGAATGCGAAGAATTGCAAATGAAGTATCACTTTTATTTTTATTTTATGGAGACACTTTATCTGCTTCATTTGCGATTCTTATAAATTTTATTAAGTATTAATATACCTGTGTAATCTGTTCCGATAAATGGGTGACTTTCTCCACGAGTATGTTCATCATCTGCTCATTCTCTGAACGTAACGTGATTATGATCCGATTGAGCTCTTCTATTTGACGCCTCGTTGATGAGGTGGTAGAAATAGTACGTTTAAAGCTCCGATAATTCTGAAAGAGTTATTAATCGGATAATAAGCACGAATTGTTTTCTGTATGAGCAGCAACTTGCCTCTTTCAGCGTGATGGACATTCTCTTTATCACCCAGAAACAGAAGAAAATGACTTTAGCGATGGGCTTCTTGACGAATAGTAATTTTTGAAATTTCCTCTTCCGCTGGAAGTTGCCACATGTGCATTTGTTACCAAATTCAACTGCTGCGAGAGGCTGTAAATAGTAATTATGTTGCATATTACTGTGACGTCAGTGGTGAGATATTTGTATCGTTTTTAATCATAGAATGTTTATAAAAATTCCCTTCGTTTACTTTAACACGAAGAATGTATAATCTCGATTAAATTAATATGTTGAAAAATTACTTGTTGAAGACATCCGCTGCAGCCACCAGAATCAGTCATAACTGGAAGATCTAAACTCGAAGTGGTTCGGGATTCGGAAGTACTACTACTCCATGGAGTCTTCGTGATCGTTGTATTCGGACAAAAGCAATTCTGCAGGTTCTTTTTCTCAATTGGCAATAAATCGGTGATCTTAACAGAAGCAACAGGTACCTGTGGCCTTTCCACTTCCTCCACATCGTCAAATTTCAACGTGGTCCGACATCTTTTAGCCGGAGGTGGTGAACCACTGCAAGGAGTGATAGAATGAGCTCTGTTACATTTTATTTCTCTGTAATCTTGTTCTTCTTTGTTATCGTCCTTGTCACTCTCAACGAAAGGACGTTTATTGGTACGTTCGTTGAAATTTTCTTCCGAAGGTGCGTAATAAGAAATCGTGTTGGATCGTCGTGTCTGATCGAATTTCTTGTACTTTGGTCCATTATGGCCATTGTACTCGTGATTTCTAGCCCACTTAAAGCCGTTTAATTTTCGTAAATTTGAGAAAATTCTTCTACATTCGTTCCAATTGTTAGCCAATCGACTTCCTCCTGAAGACTGCAAATTCTTTTCGTTAATTATTTCAAACCTCGTATCCTGATCTTGCCCACTCCACTTTCCTTCGTTTCGACTTGTAGACTCGCCAACCGAGGCAGTCGATTGAAATTCATCGAGAAAATTATGGAATCCTTGACTCTGAGACTCTGATTCCGAATTAAAATTAGTAAATTGCGTTGGATCCGAGGAGTAACCAGAGGGGAAATTATAAACTGATTTAGAAGGATGAAGTTCAGTGTCGCAAGTATAAATATCGAGTCTAGTCCTTGAAAATGATTTCTCTTCCTGTTCGTTCATTTCTAATTTTATTTCGTCGTTCATCGACAAAGTCTTGTCCAATGAAAAACATTTTTCTCTAGCCTCGTCGTTTACCTGTTTGATTTCGATCAGATCTGGACTGTTTTCGCTACTTCTTTCCTTTTCTTTCTCACTTTTATCTGAGCCATTTAAATGCAATCTCATTCGACGATGTCGGGGCACAATTTCTGGACTTAAATCGTCGCAGTATGATAAATCCAGTTGATCTGATTCGAAGAGTATAGATTCTGGAGATCGTTGTTGCAACAGCCGTTCAGAAGACAGCGTTTCCTTCTTGAATGGAGTATATTCGTTCCTTACGTTATCAATCTCGTCAGAAGTATCTGATTTTTGTAATAATGTTTCTTGAGATTGATGTAGTTGTTTGCGTCGAGATCGTTTGTAGCCTTTCCACTTTGCCATTATGATTTCGTTCCATGTGGTTTGCTCAATGTTTATACAAGTCTTGCAGAACCCATAGATTATTAATTAAGTAGGTATCAACATTTTGAAAGTGGAAAATGTTTTACGAGAAGTCTTTTTAAAGAAAGAAATTATTTTGCACGTTGAGAATCACGCGTATTCACACTGGTTTCGTTGATCTATCGAACGGCTATAATAGAACTGTTCTATATACTCGATTACACAGATGACATTGTTAAAGGTTGTCTATTAACGTTTGTTTTGGTTTCGATATTAGCACTAGGGAATTTTCATGGCTGATATTTTCTAAATTAGTATCATTTACACTACTGTCCCTAATAAAGTTAATAAAAAGGAAGAATGCAAAAAAAGTAACGAAAACGATATTTTGTGTTTAAAGAAAATTTATTTTCAAATTACCTACGACAAATTTCACGTTTCGACAGTCTACTTCCTCTAAAATGAGGCCAACTTTTTTTAAGGTAGTGCCATCTGCTTCATTTTGTCCTCCTTATTGTTCTATCGTGTTAATTATAAAGGAATTTAAATGTCTATGAAGTGTGTGTTATGCGTATGTCTACTGATCAGCAAAGGATCCACCTTTTGCTTTTTTAAATGTTTCTTTTTCGTGTACAACACGAATCATTTTCATGATTGATACCAATAATCGCCGGAGTTTCATTTCATATTGTCCTATTCGGCATTTTTAATTTTTTTATCAAAATAGTTTACAATGTTCATTTTTTGTTCACGAAACTCTCTCCCTTTTCAATGTTCTTCTTGAGTTCTGGAATTGCTGCGTCCAATAGTTTCTTCTCGTACTCACTGAGTTTCTCGATACCAAGATTCTTTTCGAGTCCATTTTTCTGAAATTTGATATAAATATAATATTTCGAAGCTAAATATTGAAATATACTGTTACTCGATAATTATACTTACGCCCAACAGACAAGGCGTTGAAAAGTATTTGGTATCGCAAACATCCGATTTGACGTAAGTGCACTCTACAATATTCTTTTCTCCATTAAGTGCCTTGATTAAGGAGAAACCGAATCGAGCACCAGCATATGCCATCGAAAGCGTTGCAGAACCTGTGCCAGCTTTCGCTTTAACAACTTCAGTACCAGCTTCCTGAATTCTGTGAGTCAGAGCCTTCAATTTATCTTCTGGGATAGAAATTGAAGGTTTGGTTTGTGAAAGTAAAGGAATAATAGTGACACCGCTATGACCTCCAATAACTGTCACTGATACTTCCCGCGGACTAAGGCCCTAAAAAATTTCACGTTATACATATTTTCAATATCATGTTAAATCTGCTTATTATAATTTTACTGACTTTATACTCAGCAATGAATGTGTTTGCTCTGACAATATCGAGAGTTGTAACACCGAATACTCTTTTGGGATCGTAAACGCCAGCCTTTTTCAATACCTCACTGGCAATAGGTACAGTGCTATTAACCGGATTCGAAATAATGGCAATAAGTGCTTTCGGTGATACTTCTGCTATAGCTTGGACAAGATCTCTCACTATCGAAGCGTTCGTGTTAAAAAGATCATCTCTCGTCATTCCGGGCTTACGTGGAACACCGGCAGGTATAAGGACTACCTAAAAAATAATATATAGCGAAGAAAAGGTTTTTAATTTTTAATTGTTCGTTAACTGTAAATAATTTGAATAAATTTAATAAGATAAAAACCTGCGCTCCTTTAACGGCATCCTTTAATTCGTTTGGTCCAGTGAATGCTTTCACTTTTGCCGCCGTATCCATATGCGATAGATCAGCAGCGACACCTGGTGTATTCACAATATCATACAATGATAATTCGGTTACAAGAGGTGACTCTTTCAGAAGCAATGCTAGCGGTTGGCCGATTCCTCCGCTGGCCCCCAAAACTGCGACCTTGGCATTACTCTACAGAACAAAATATTCCGATATAAAAAGATATATAAAACGTGTCAATCTTATTTATTTCTCTATCGTATCTCTATTCCAGGAATTCCATGCTTCATATCTTATATTAGATTTCATGATATTAGGCAAAAAATAACTATAACTAAGATCAGTAATCGTTTTAAACACATTCATGGTTGCATAATTGTACTTCACGTGTACATCACGAAACGTAGTATAAAAGTATAAAGAGATGTTTTAATGTGATCAATTAAACTCGTTACAATCTAAACTTTGATGAGAAATTAAAAGGATGATAGGGACTAAAATGTAGTAGACTAGTTAACAATTATAATTTTAATGTAAGTTTAAATTATTACTTAAAAAGGGCTTACCGTGCAGCTGGTAGATAGCCGTTTCGCTCCTTGTTGAGCAACTCCCAATATAGGCTTCAGATATCGCGGCAACATGTTCGCAGTGACTTTGTAAGCACGAATGAGATGGATTTCAAATTTGAGACAACGCTCGATAACCTTTCAAAGACACCCCAATGACCTCAATGATATTTCACACTTGTTCTGTTTCGCTCTCTCCAACTGTCTGAAGTGTCGCAAGACGTAGCAATCATGCGTATAACCGCTCTAATCATTTACGCAGGCTTAATACTGGTTGTGATTTGTAACGCGGGAATTTTTGAAAATTTTATGTAAATTAGTTATATCTCAGACTAACTTCATCATTATTCCTGTAAAACAGAATATTCTTGATTTTTTTGTTATGTTTTACTACATTTGTCAACATGTAGTTTTAACTTTGTTAAATTGCATTTTAAATTTATTATTACATATAACATGTAAAATGAAATAATTTAAGACAAAATATTTCATTTATATTTTAGATATAATTGAAATATTAAATAGTTTCGAATATTGTACTTGTACTATTTATTAACAACTGAAACGGTTTTTTCAATCTGTCAATATGCATGAGAAGCTTCATAAAATGTTTGTTTCTTAAAATTTCACTGAATTAAATCTTAAAATTTGATTCCAGTAAATCTATGATAAATTGATAACACGATGTTTTTAAGAAGTTAAATTTATATTGGTATTATAATAGTTGAATTAATTAATGTTAGCTCAAAATGTCAAATGGTACGTTAAGGTTACTTAACCTATAAAAAAGTATTAACACAATGCTTTTTTTATTAAAATTATACTACTTAAATCAAAAAATTACTTATACATTTTTATCATATTTCATTTTTTATAATTATTTAATTTATTTCAGAAATAGAAACTAGTTTATTAATAATAATATTAGATGTAAACCCTGTGCAAAGGATCATAAAACATGAGACAAAAATGTTGACGCAATGCTTGGATTCTACCATTGTCTTTGCCAATGCTCATTTAATGCAGTCATCTAATAATCAACTTGCTATGATAGCATGTCACGGTCATGGAGCAAAGTTCTTATATCCTTGTGAAAAAGCATTAGAGATCAGACAAATTGATGGACAATATGAAAAGTTTACTATGGTTGAATGTACTGTAAGGCAACAATTACAACAAGTTATCAATGAAATTTCTTTGGACAAACCATTAAATGGAGAAAGTCTGATATCTGGGGCATTAACCATGGCACTATGCTATGTTGCGAGGTTAGAAAGGGAAAAGATTGCTGGAGAAAAATTATATTCAAGGATTCTTGTGATCACTGCCAGTAATGATTCAGCAACTCAATATATGAACTATATGAACATATTTTTTACTGCTCAAAAAATGGTTTGTTATTCTTATATATTTTAATGTTTATCTAATTTAAAGCTAAAATTTAAATTAATATTCTTTTTAAATATATAGGCAGTAATATTGGATGTATGCAGTTTAGACCAAGAATTGACCTTACTTCAACAGGGCTGTGATATTACTGGTGGAAATTATTTAAAAGTTCCTCAATTAAGTGGATTATTACAGTATTTATTGGTAAGAAAAAAATAATTTAATTGTTTTTAAACAGTTTAGTTATATTTATGTTTCCTTTCCAGTGGATATTTTTGCCAGATCCAAATATTAGATCAAAGTTAGTACTCCCGCCTCCTGTGAAAGTAGATTATAGAGCAGCATGCTTTTGTCATCAAGAATTAATTGATATTGGTTACGTATGCTCTATATGTCTATCAAGTAAGGCAAATGAATTTAGTTTAATATTGTACTATATATGTTATACTATATAACATATATGTAAAATAATAAATAATTTTTTTTTTAGTATTTTGCAAATTTAGTCCAATATGCACAACCTGCCAGTAAGTATCATGGTAATATTCTAATTTGTTACAATTGTTATAATTCATGCTTTTTATTAATCATATTCTTTTTTTTCTTTTGTTTTTACAGTACAGTATTCAAAATGCCAGGACCTATACCTATAAAAATGAAGAAAAAGAAAAAGAATGTAGATATAGTTCATTAATTGTATTTAGGGATAAAGATTTTTTACTTAAATATATCTATTTTCTCATTATGGATATTATTCTTTAAGCTATTTAAAAGGATTTTTTTAATTTACTTAAAAAGAAACTTGCAAACGAACACGTCATAGACCTTTATTATAATATACTTTATCTACATGTTCCTTTACACATTTCTTAAAATCTTCATACTCAGATGGATATAGCTTCATCAATTCTGTACTCATGGAACTTAACAGTTAAAATAGATTAGCATATATTTTTATATACAAGCAGGAAGTAAATATTTAAATAACTTACTTTCTTTCGGGAAAAATTGCTAGAGCAGATGGAATTGCAAACAAACAACTATGAAAATAAATCATATTTAATAAAAAGTTATTTAGACAAGGAAAGCCGAAAGATAATTTGGAAGTTACCCCAGAGCACATAAGCAAGTTTCGATTGGAATTAAGATCCATGATCGACGTTGAAAAAAATAATTGGCCAAAAATTTATGAGTTAAGAGTGGAACGAAAATTAAACACGGTATCGACATAACTATCCTTGTAATTAAACATTCATAAACACCCTTTATGGCTGCCACTTTTGATTTCATGAAAGGATTCTTTTCATCTTTCATAAACAATGGGATCCCTGTTGTAATCTCTTTATATCGTATAATTGGTAAATTTAATATGTGGCTTGTAGTCATTGCACAAAATGGCAGATATCTCTGTTGACAGAGAATTATATGAAAAGCTTACTGTAAAATAAAACATATTAAAAAAATAGAGCAAAAAACTAACTTGCAAAATAAATCTTCGAAATAATATTTTTTTACAATAAACAGTTACGATAGAACTCGTTATAGCTGCACATAAGATAGTATTTCTTATTGTAGTTTTATCGTTATTATTTAGTCTACTTCTATACGTGTAATTTATAATAGCGATGTGTAATTGATGCAATATTTGAAGTGTCACTGTAACGGGAGTATTTCTAGTAATTAGATATAATAATTATTGAAATTTGTTATATATTTTCTGGAAAATATTCTGTTTTCATAAAATTGAAATACTTTTAAACTTACTTTTGAAATGCTAACATCGACGCCGTAAGTACTGCTGAAGCAGGCATCTGGAAGGACAATCTACTAAAAGAGTGTATTAATTCACCAGTATCTGGATGAAATGCACCATCTCTAAGTTGCTTTGCACGAATAATATCGGACATTTGTGTTCCTGAAGGTATTTTACCCATTCTGACAAAAATTAATCATTTAAAAATTTGGAGTAATTAGAATTGAACAATTAAATTTGACCTACTTGTAATCATCGCAAAATTGTTTAGCTTCTCTTAATCTCTTCTTACTTTCAAAAATCATACGGAAATCGGTAATAAAAGCAAAATGTTTCAATCTACCAATATATGTAGATTGATCCCATAATGGCTTATCAATATCAATTTTTTCGTCGATGTTCATCGTTAATTACAAATTCATGTATACATAATTTGCAACATTATGGACAAGTTCACATTTATTAATTATTTATAAATTGTGACATTTTATATTTCATGTTTTCTTAATAACTTTATTTTGAACTTGGTTCTTTATTAACTTTAATAAGGGACAATTTATGAATAGAAAAAATTATTCAATAATTTATATGAGCAAATTAATACCATGAAATCAGTGAAATTATCATTTTCACATAGCGAGTGAAGTTAACTGAAAATAATTGCGTTTTTACATTGTCAATACTTTAAAACATAATATTTGCGAAGTTTTTTTCGCATAAAATTAGAGTGGTATTATAAATTATGGTACACATTTTTTTACAATATAGTATCCTTTATTTTTTCTAAAAATCTATAACGTATATTTTACATAGGCTAAAGCAACAACTTGTAAAGAAGCGATTCAGCGATGGGAAGAGAAAACGAGTTTGAATGCTAGCGAAGAGAAAAAAATCATTTTGTCCTTTCAGTGGCCTCCTATTGAAAAAATGGATAATAATTTAGCAGCACTTACTGCTGTAGAGTCAGTTTTGCTTAATCTATTTTTCTTTGTTTTTTGTTTCTATTAAAAATAATAAAAGCAAACATTTTAAATATTTACGTTTTTAGAAAATTATCTCTCTCAACGAATATGATAGAAAAGATCAGTGGTATAAATTCTTTAAAAAATTTAAAAATCTTATCTTTGGGTCGCAACAATATTAAAACATTTTCTGGATTAGAAGCAGTTGGAGAACACTTAGAAGAATTATGGATATCGTATAATCAGATCGAAAAGATTAAAGGTGTCAACGTATTGAAAGCGCTAAAGGTACTGTATATGTCGAATAATTTAGTAAAAGATTGGGCCGAATTTAATCGTCTACAAGAAATACCACATCTCGAAGATTTATTATTCATCAATAATCCTATTTGCGAAAATATGGACGTAGAATCTTGGCGTAGTCAGGTAATTAGAAGACTTCCAAAATTAAAGAAACTTGATGCTATACCTATCGTATAATTATTTCATTTGTTTATTGAGCATACGGAATGACAATAGAAGTTTGAGTCTTGATAAAAAATTTTGCAATAAAATTGCAAAATATGTATTTACACGATGTAGTGTACATTTATAATACATTTTTTTTCCACACTCAAATATAATACATTGTATTGACATTATCGACATTGCTTTTTTTTTTTAATAAAATTTCGCGATGGACAATTAATAATCTTCAACTTTCATATCGTTCAATCCGAGTTCTTCATTTTGATCAAAACTTCTTTCATATTTAGTAATTTCCAAACCGCTATCTAAACCTTCATCTGAAAGACTTTGAATATAACTGTTGCCTGCTGGATCATCTAACACAAGTGTGATCTTTCGTTTTCCTTCTAAAACCTCATTTAAATGAGATATGAAATCATCCATCCGTTTCATAGTATCTGGATCACTACTATCACCGCTAAAAGCTATCGACGATGATAGCTGTTCTTTAACCGCTACTAAAATGCCTTCTACAGTAGTAAAACGTCCACCCAAAGTAGCGGGACCAATTTCTAATTCCAATTCGGGTACTTGCATGTAACAAGTTTCAGATTTCAATAAATCGCGGCTAAAATCTTCTTTTCCTGCAACCTTTACTTTTATTTTTACTCCCATATGTTCAATACCTCCACCACTCTTAACTTCATTAGTTCTATGCCCGCAAGCTTCACAAACTGTTGCCATAATTACAACTTCCTTAAAATGTGGGATATCTATAGAATTAATTAAGAATAAATAGATTTTTTAATTGTCATAATGCTACAAATGATGAAAAATATGCAGAGTATCAGTAATTTTAAAATACTTTAAAAGGTAATATAATAGTATTCGATAAAACAGAAAAGAAAATATAATGACAATGTTAAATAATATAAAAAGGATACTGGTCAATTTCATATTGGTTTCACATGGGCAATTACACTCTGGACAATTTGTTCTAAAGGAAAGTACTTCTCCCTCAAATTGTTCCAAAGTATATTCTCCTTCCTTTATAGGTTTCAATAAAGTATCTTCTGAATTCTCAGAATAAATTCCTAAAATGCTATCTTGCTCTATGGATCTTTTAAATTGTGTTATAGTACATCCTTCATCTTTTAATGGTGCTTTTGGGTTTTCTATATGACATTCACCTGATATGTCTTCAAATATCATAGTGAAAGGTTCATCTAAAGATTTAAGCTTCCTTAATTTCTCAAGAAACTGATCAATTTGAGATGCAGCATTTGGATGCTTTTCTCTTCTTTCAGGTTGATCTTGTTCCAAACCATCGATTGTTCTTTCTATAATTCCTTCAATTGTTGTAATTTCACCTTTTTGTGATCTAGAAGGGATTTCGAAGTCCAGGGATGGAATTTTTACACAAGTATAATCTGATTTAACTACCTGACGATTTAAATCCCTAGAAGATTTAACTTCTACTGTTATTCTAATTCCCTTCTCTGTAATTTTTCCACTATTTTGTATTTCATTATTTTGGAAACCACAATGTTCACAATCAAAAGACATTAGTACAATATCTTTATAATATGGTATCTTTGTCAAGAGTAATTTAGTAACACCCTGTATTTTAAAATAGTATGTTAGTTAGGAAATCAGAAATATTTTGTTTTAATAACAAATTCACAATGTCATACATTTTGCCCACAATTCATGCAAAGACTTTCTATCTGTGTCGTCTCTGGTTCCGGATCGTCAGCGGTCAAGGAACGAAATATTGGTTTCGTTTTTTCTTCGGTAATTTGTTTTCGATCTTCTGCCATTTTTTGGTTATATCAAATTTATACGCCACACTTAGGTAAAAAATCTGTTTTAAATAAAATTAAGTTAGATTATTGATTTATGTTGATAAATACTTTTGTACTATACTTACTTTTATCCGCTAAATATAAATTTGTAAGCAAAAATTATAATTCATCAAACCTTTAGAAAACATAATGATCAAAATAAATTCACATGCATAAATTATTTAACCTAAGCTAGGGTCCCTAGTAGAAGAAGCGTAACTAACTTTAAATTATTAAATTACTAAAATTTTTAAATACACGATATATTTAATAAGAATATCCAGAAATTATTTTATATATTACTATTGCAATTGTAATTACAATTATAAATTTATTGCATTTATGTAAAAATTTGAAATATTGGAAATTATACAAAATTATTCCCATCTGCATGGAATATATAACATATACTATGTAATTTCCATGGAAATTATATGGTTTAATATTTGAAAATATGTAAATTATTTAATTTTAAAATAATGTTTCCTGTTACTGATAGAGAATTACCTTTTATTTAAAATTAACCATAAGGAAATTTCACAATGCGACCTACCTTTTATGTTTAATAATATTAGCGCCAACTTCATGCATATCATTTTGAATGCATTTAAAGCGGCACAATTTAATGTGGCATTGATACTTTGACTAACAATTGTATATTGTATCAGACGTAACAAATTTAAAAATCTTTATTTTTCTATAGCATTACTTGTTAGAATTGATTACTTATCTTATAAGTGAATATTAAAATGTGACTTTTAATAACATTCCGTTTAGTCCAGTATTGTGTACATATTAATGACACTATAACCTGTGTTATCGTAGAACATAGCACAGCATGCTAAGAATTGTCGGGTCTTGGAAACATTAACTCATAGTTCTTGCAATATTTTATTCGTAGGTAGCATTACTTGTGCAAGTTGAATAAAGAAGAAAATTTTAATCGAGAAATAAAAAGAAGTTTCTGAAGAGCTTCAAGACTAGGGAAAAGTCGAAGCTCAGCGTTCTCAGTGAGTGGCGCGAATCGCCGGCGAAAGTACAATGGCTAAGCATAGCCAATGGCGGCCGCGATTGAATGTCTCGTGCCGGCTCGGTTGTCGTTGATCGATGTGTTACTACGTGTTTTCGAAGTGTGCTAACTCGCATTTAACTCGATCACGCGTAGTCCTAATTTACGATCGATAATATGTCGAGTCGGCAGTCAAAAAAAGAAAAGGTGCGTTCATTATGTTGCACGTCGCTCCTGTCTCTGGTCGACTACGTCTCTTCTTATGTGATCGGTACTCGCATACGTGAAAACAGTGTTCTTTCGACAAGGAGAGATCGTGGGCACGCGCGCGCGAGTGTGTGTGTGCGTGAGAGAGAGAAAGAGAGGAAGAAAGAGAGAGGGTGACGATGACAGGGATAGGAGAGAAAAGAAAGAAGGGAGAGTAAAGAGAGTACGGGGAAACAACCCCGGTAGCCGAGACACCGAAGGGTGTAGCGTGATTCTGATTTCTTGATATCCGTTTCACTGGTACATTTTCTCGACCGAACGTTTCGAAGAACCTGACAATGGTACTTCAACTAATTCTCGTTTCCGTTGTGACATCGCAAGTGCGAATTCGTTGAGCGGACCGCGTCTCGAATGTGAATCGTGCTGTCGTGGCATTGTACGCTGATATAAGCGGTGCAATTTACTCGTTTTGTTCCAGGATGCGACGAAGATCGGCAAGGACAAGGGAAAGAACGGCAAGGATGGCGAGACAAGTGACGAGGTGAGGTTATATCGTCCTTCTATGTTCCTTCCTATTGATGTGACTCGATTCATTTCAAATTGACTTGTCTCGTCGTCAATTCTTCCTATCGTAGAGTTTCGTTTTTATTTTACATGCATCACGGATTCAATTTGTTAAAGACATCAAATGTTCGTATCTTTGTCAGTTCTGTAAGAGACAGTATTTAAGATTTATTCTCCGAAAGCGATGCAGTGTCCATCTTCGATACCGTGTGCCACTTGAAATGTTTTCTTTCCTAGAGTCATGTACATGCGTATAATTTAAAATACACGTTTGCCTATGATACATTTTTTTAATATTACTGTTTGATTAAGTTTGTGTTCCATGAATATCGTTTATAAAATGATTTTAAAGCTCTCTTTGAAAAAAATACTGCTTGCCACAGGTGGCGCTTAAGCGTAGACTTAGTTGATAAATAGAAAACGATGTAAACGAAAGATACGTTATAAACTAACTGGTATATTTTTCGATCTCTATTTCTTGTCACTTCGTTATACATGACTATATTTAGCTTTTTCTGTTCAAGCGATTCGTGACTTGGAATGTAATTAGAATTTTACATTAATTTCTAACACGCTCCTTGGACATAATTAATGTATAATCCATGTGAAGTATATGAATATAGCAAATTCCAAAGATGGAATTGCCGCGAAATTATATATGTATTAAAAGATATTAATTGATCATTAAGATTAATATGATAAATGGATCTACCTTGTAATTTCTTAATTATATTTACATTATATATGTTACATATATCATATATAATTCTATTTTTCGTTGTATTTATTAGTTTGCAAATTGAATCAATCTTTTACAAACAATTTTTTACAAATAATTTATAACCAATTAATTAATAATTAAATTTATAAATTTAACTTCCACAATTTGTTTTGCTGTTAACAGTCTAAAAATAACTCAGACTATTATATTTAGTGCAAAATTGCATAACTGTTTATTACCTACAGCACATAAATTGTAATACATATATATAAACACTATTATATTATTAAATTTTTATTAAATTTTTATATTTTGGTGCATTTTTAACTGTTCTTAAAGAAATTTTGTTTGCCTTTAATAGCAAAAAGCAAAAGAATAAATATAAATTTATATGTGCATGTATTTTCAAGAATATTCAATCAATCACAAAAATGTTTTATAGAAAGAAAGATTTAATATAAGATATCAACAGACTGCAATTGTAGAAGCGAGAAAAATCAAAATTCATCTTATACAGCCAAGAGGGAATACTCATGCCAAATTGTTATGGGATACACTTCCTCAAGGACCACACCATCAGCTAGGTTCTCCAAGAAGAAGTTTTGTGATTGGTGTTGAAGTCATTCTTGCATCTCTATCAATTTTTTCATTTTACAGTAGTAGACCAAAAACATTAATAAAAGTGTTACTATGTAATATATAATTGTCCAAAACTCATTCACAAGTAATTGTCATCTTTTTTGGCCACTAGAGAGTACTCTAAATGGACATCAGCTCAGATGAAGAGTCAAGACCAATAGTGCATAAATGGTTTCAAGATCAACCACAAAACTTCTTTCAAGGAAGCCAGGCTTTAATGCAACGTTGGAACAATTGTGTTGAATGTAATGATGATTACATATAGATTGACATTTGCTTTTAGAAAACAATTTTTGTTCATCGTTTCTGAATTACGTAATGGAGTTTAATGGAATTTTAATATAAATCAAGTATTTGCTGGTTAGTGATACGTTTATATAATGTAAACAATTTCCAAAGAGCATAATATTCTTTGAGGAACACTATAAAAAATATGTAAGCCGCTAAAGCAAATAAAAATTGCACCACTCTCAATCTACTTGTTTCTATTTAAAGTTGATCCATTATTGAGGCATAGTTAAATCAAGTGCACACTTATACAAGGTATTTTCTCTTTTAACATTAAATTACCTAACTATTTCTTGCTTTATACATGCAATTTTTATGCACATATTGCATCAGCAATTTTACATTGCACTGTATGAATTTCAACAAACTTGTTATCTTTAAGCTTTTATTATTTTGGAATTGTTTCTTTTATTTCGTAGGCGAATAAGGTAACCGGAGGACCACCGGCAACTGCTGCACCACCGCCACCAACGTTGATTAACAAAATCAAATATCAACCGGGAGGTCCGGTGATAAAGAAAGATAAACGGCAAAGTAGCTCAAGATTTAACATATCGAAAAATCGCGAACTTCAAAAGTTGCCGCTTCTATCCGGTAAGTTAAGATGAATTTTGGTGAGCAAAAGTACGATAAAAGATCAAATAAAAAATTTTAATGATTTATTTTTAAAACAGTATGAAGTAAAGTAATGCGCTGTACATAGTCGAAAATGTTAAAAATACTCAGAAGAGAAGCAATTTGTTCCAGATAAATTGAAAAAACATTATTTACTCGATCATAATGGATTCGATCATTAGAGTGATTGTGATGAGGCATAGAAGTTCATTTTCGATCTGTTCATGACATGACAATTTCCCTAGAAGTTTCATCTGGCGATAAATTCATCAAGAGCTTATTGATTTTAATATTTTCTAAGCGAACTACTCCGCTTTCTTTGGCAATGATTGCCACATAATGATTGATTAGTATGACAGGTCACCAAAGTAGAAGCAATAAACCTTGTCATTATTATCTTCGCCAGGAATAAACCGTAATACACTTAACGAGTGCACCGGGGGTATATTCAAGAATAGTTACCTAACGCTGCTTTACTCAAGTTAAATTACTGCGCTTTCAGTTGTTTTGATAAATCGAGATATTTCGATGTGTCGATACTTTCGATACATTCGATACTTTCGATACATTCGATACTTAAATATTCAAATAATTATTAAAATACAAAATATGATTCAAGAAGAATTTTCCAATAGGATGTTGGGCTGATTAATGTCATCATTTTTATTAAAAATTACACACTATATTGTATATGTTAGGATTTGTAAACGAAAAGTTAGATGATTTTGATTTAAAAGTAGATATATGAAATTTAGAACTGACCTACATTTTCGACTGATTGGTAGTATGTATGTAGCTTAAAGTATTTTAACCAAGAAAGATTTTGTAACATGCAATTGCTTTAATAAATAATTAGACTGAAAGTGAAATTTAAGGATAAAAAAAGAAAACAGAAAAATAGATTCAAAAAGTGGATGGAGTGAAAGTTAAGAAGTGAAGGTTATTGGATCTTCTTTGACTGATATCAATCAAATTGGAAATTTCAGCGGAACAACAGAAATGCGTGGGTAAATGGATATATAAACGGCGGTATTTATGTGATTTATATATCGATTAAACATCTACAAAAGATCCCGCGCAGTTACTACATTTTAATTATGTTGATTCTTTAATAAAATGATCTTTAATGTTAGTCAGATACTTCTGTAATATGTAATATGAAATTCACTTTCGTTCATAAAGACATCAATAATATGAGTAACATTGTTGCAGTCACGAAGATTGCAACTTTTTAATGTTTTAATACTAATACAATGACTGTTTTAAAAATTAAATTTTATTTTTGTATTTACATTTGAAATAGAAATTACATCTGTCATGTCAAAAAGAAAATTAATTAGTTACTTTTGCTTTTTCAATCCTAGTCACGGGATTGCGAAAGCAGCTACGTCAGAACGATTGTATGTTATCGATTGTAAGGCGCGGTGGTTCACGCATGCGCGCAAGCGTCATTCGCGATTCCTACTTTTCTAACGTAAACAGTCCTTTCTCGTTCAAACGGCCTTTGATATCGGCGGTATTTTCTCTATACGAATTTACATCACATTTTTTTTTTTTGGTTTCACCACATCTACTCAAGACCGATCAGTTCGGTGACAATACGTTTGCAAATCATCGTGTATTACAATCCTCATACGAATCGGAATATGCTCGATTCTTGCCTGAAAGAACGGTCAGTTACGTCGAAGCAACAGATTGTTATGTGAACAAGAAAACCGGTGCGTATAGGGATGTAATTTACGGTGAATAGGCCGGGAAAAGGAAATAAATTCCGGTGACATATATCGAAAACATAGACACTGTTGATCAATAAGATGGTTCACGTGGATGGATATATCCCTTTCTCGACTGGTGTCCTGCCGAAAAGTCCGAGCTTCCACCAGGGTCTCGCCTTAGCTACTGTCTTCTCTAGAGAATCGAATAAACCTTACTTAACCAACTTCACTTCGCATTATCAACCGTTACGACCCCTATTAATCGGTAATGAAACCTCTGAAGTTTGCTTCTAGTCTTGATTCTCGTAATTGTTAAATATATGAACGAGCATCTAGAGAAGGATACAGAAGGACAGTGTTCATAGGTGATATATGTGTGTGGGAGAAAAAGAGAAACATAGGTTATATGAAATGAGGTGAGATTTGAGAGGGAGTGAGAGAGGTAGAGAGTTCATGGAAGAGTCCAAGAGAGACAGAAAGAATCTATGAAAGAATCGAGGAGGGGGAAATTATTAATGAAAAAGAGAATGAATAAAAAAAGTTGACGAGGCGGGCATACGAAATTACCGAATACTCAAGATAAATAGCAGACGATAGAGAGGGAGTTCATGAAAGCGTTTAAAAGGATAAGGGAGAAAATGTACGAGAAAAAGAAATATGGAAAAGGTGGGAGTTCAAGACCGAAAGAACGGAAAGCTGTGCAAGAATGTGAGAGAAAGGGGAATGCACTATGAGAGAAAGTTTGAGACAGTAAGAGTATGAGAGAAAGGAAGGTATATTTGGGAGAGAAAGAGTCCACGAGAGAGTCCATGAACAGTGTGAATCGTCTGCATGCTGCGTGTTCATGGTTTTGTTGGCTACCAAGAAGGGAGTGGGATTTATGGGGGAAACAGAAGTACGAAAGAGGAACTGTTGAGGCATACAAGCCTGTGTAGGTTGCGTAAGATGTGCGCATGTGTGTTCGTATATATCCCAAAAGAGGGAAAACATAAACTCCATGTGAGTACACGAAGTATTTGTAATGGGAAACGTGTTTGATAGGTATTAGTTTAGAAGTAAGCCCTAAATTCGACAGGTATTGTTAATATCCTTCATTTTTTCTGTTCTTTTTTCATTTTTAATATCCCTTTTCTTTCTTTTAGAAACGCAACAAGGAAACGAAAGAGAAGAGCTATTTATCCAGAAACTACGACAATGTTGCGTGCTGTTCGACTTCGAGTCCGATCCCCTGTCGGATCTCAAATGGAAAGAGGTGAAGCGTACCGCTCTCAACGAGATGGTCGAGTATGTCAAGAACAAAAACACGATCACAGAGGCGATCTATCCCGAAGCAGTGAATATGGTGAGTACCATTTAACACATTGTTGCTAGAGGGGGATACATTGATAGTAAGGTATTTCCTGAATAAGAGATCTTCCAATTGCAATGAGTATATTTGAGTTATTATGATTTGTTTGTAATTGGAAATTTGCAATTTTTCAGTTCGCAGTGAATTTGTTTCGTACACTCCCTCCAGCATCAAACCCGAATGGAGCGGAGTTCGATCCGGAAGAAGATGAGCCAACGTTAGAAGCTGCTTGGCCTCACTTGCAGCTGGTTTATGAGTTCTTTTTACGATTGCTCGAGTCTCCGGAATTTCAGCCCACTATCGCCAGACGTTACATAGACCAGAAGTTCGTGCTGCAACTTTTAGAGCTGTTTGATTCAGAGGACCCACGAGAAAGAGATTTCTTGAAGACAACGCTTCATAGGATTTATGGGAAGTTCTTGGGGCTCAGAGCATACATCAGGAAACAGATAAATAATGTGTTCTATCGATTTATATACGAAACCGAACACCACAATGGTATTGCTGAACTTCTCGAGATTTTGGGAAGGTAATTTTGAGTTATTTAGTATTAGCACTAAAGATAGCTTTATAGTACGTGTTGATTGATTTGTTTGTTCTTTCAGTATAATCAATGGATTTGCATTACCACTGAAGGATGAACATAAAGTATTTTTATTGAAGGTGCTTTTACCTTTACACAAAGCCAAATCGCTCTCTGTATATCATCCACAGTTGGCATACTGCGTGGTTCAGTTTTTGGAGAAAGATCCGTCGTTGACTGAACCTGTTATGAGAAGCTTGTTGAAATTCTGGCCGAAAACACATTCCCCGAAGGAAGTAATGTTTTTAAATGAACTTGAGGAGATTCTCGACGTGATCGAACCTGCGGAATTCCAGAGAGTCATGGATCCGTTATTTAGACAATTAGCAAAATGTGTATCATCTCCACACTTCCAGGTATTTCTAATATCTTCTTTTTATCGATTATATTTTATTTAAATTTAAATTTTGTCTAAACATTTTATCATACTTTCTCCAGGTGGCTGAAAGAGCTCTATATTATTGGAACAACGAATACGTAATGTCCCTTATAACGGATAACTATTCCGTTATTTTGCCAATCATGTACCCAGCATTCTACAGAAATTCTCGTAATCATTGGAACAAAACGATTCACGGTTTGATCTACAATGCATTGAAGCTTTTCATGGAGATAAATCAGAAAGTATTCGATGAGTGTACGCAACAGTATTTTCAGGTACGTTATTTACTTTCGTAAAAGGAGGACGAAGAAGTGACGTTAATTAAAATATTTGTAGGATCGGCATAAAGAATGGAAGCTTATGAAAGATAGAGATGAAGCGTGGATGCGCGTTGAAGCTCTAGCAATGAAACATCCGAATTACAACGCGACTATAAAAGGTATTACGAACACAACACCTAGCACGATGTCGCAGCAACAATTAGACAGCCCTCCGCCTGACGAAGATGGAGATACAGATCAATCTCCGCTCACATTGGAAAAGATAGAAGCGAAAGCGAACGAGGTATGACAGATCGCAATCGGTCTTTCTCTCGTCCTTGATCGTTTGTTTATTAAGGAGTCTAAAATGAATCTTTTTTTGCCATAGGCAAAAAAAATGACCAACTCCAATAAAACAAAGCCACTTTTGCGAAGGAAAAGCGACTTACCCCAAGACACGTACACAATGCGGGCATTGTCAGATCACAAACGCGCAGACGAATATCTCGATACGCCACCGGATCCTAACAATTGCTAGTCTCTACCGCAATCTCTTCCCATGTATCCTCTCTTTTGCTGCAGTGATTTTGGGAGTTAGCTTTTTTGAAGAGAGAAACGAAACAGCGATGAATCGGATCTAATGAATCGAGTGATCATCACATTCGACGACAACCGTTTACAACAGAATTTAATCGAACAGAGAAGTCAACAATGTCGTAATTATCGCTCTTCTCCTTCCCTACTCCCTTCTCGTATCAAAACAGTCGAGATATGCATCGTAATTTCTTTTTCTTTGTATCTCGGTAATCGAAAAAAAGCTTTCTCTCATTGCACCCAGCACATTCAGAAGATGTATCCGTGTCCGTAGTAATCCATAAAAAGGAAAAAAAATGCTGATAACTTCCTATATACTCTTCGAGTTGATTTGCATAAGGCATCGCGAGAATTATGAAAATATTACATACTCATTATCAAAGAAATGGAAAAATCATGAGATGTAAAAGAAACCTAGTAAATAAGGGTCCTAAGTGTGTATATGTATATATATACACAAACACATACACAGAGTATTTTATAAATTGTAGATTTCTTGCGTATGGAGAAATTTATCGCTGACAATAAGACAGTTTTTCGCATTCATAAGTACGCCTTCACATTTTTAAAAGAAATGTATTCGACGTATGATAGACACGTGGCGTACAGGTCCGATCATGCATTAAAACTCAAACATAAGTCTCGAACAATTTATCTGAAAAGATTCATTCATGATTGTTCTAAGATAGGTTGTCTTGCTTTTGGCGGGGGATTTTCTTCATATCATAGGAATTTATGGTTTATTGAACACCATTTATACAGGGTGTATCATCACGAATGAATACAAATTTGCCTGCTGATTCTGGGAATGATTTTGAATAGAATCGTTATTTTATCTAAAATTTATTTGTATTTTTGAATAATATCGATACTTTCCTGCGCTTAAGACGAATTACATAGGAAATGCAGTCGTAATCGCTACTTCTTTTAGGGGCATCTCGTTATCTGTTATATTTTGAGAGTATTTTTACATAATATTGTTTATTCAAAATCATACCATAAATTAACAGATAAATTGCTTATCGCGGCGATACATCCTATATACATACATATATACATATATATACATATGTATATAATATACATATATTATATACATATATGTATATGTATATGTATATATATATATATTATATAATATAAATATGCTCTAAATAAACAAAAAAGAAAAAAAACATTTATATGAATTCGAAAGGGGTCAAACAAGAATGGCCGCGTGCTTGATGTTGTAATAATAATAACAATAAAAGAAGAAAAGAAATTTTAGTATGCAAGTTTGAGGCGTTACTCTTCTGAGCGAGGTTTCCACTGATGCGCAAATGACAGACATTTAATAACACACAAGTGATATATAGTTGCTTCAACGCTACCAGCTCGTAACTTAGCGGCAAAAAAAGAAAGAAAAATGAAAAAATTGCAAAAAGAAGTAAAAACGTCGTTTTAGAGTTAGATGAACGTGATAGCACTATTTTAGAATATCGATTGTTATAAATCTGAATATTCCTGAACGTACTACTTTTATATCTAAATGTGCCTAGATGCCTGTGGAACGCATTCGCAAGAATCGCCTCTGCCAGAGGCCTATAATTAAGAATCGTTAAACAAAAGAAGAAAAAAAAAAAAGAAATAATAAGCAACGAGTTATACGTAACGTTACCGAATGGTGTAATCGTATCACGAATTTTTTCAAGAACGCTTACACGAACGTTGCGTCGTTGCCACGTCAGTTTTGTGGTTTAGTCGAAAGAAAATAAAGTGAAGAAAAACGTTATATACTAGTTCGTCGCTGGCAAAAGAAAAAAGCAAATGAAAATTGCAAAGAATAGAAGTAAATATAGGAGTCGTGGAAAATCGAGGGCCTCGAACAGTGGGAATTCAATTTACAACAACTCATGTCCCACTGGATGGTCCAACCGCACCCTCAACAATTTCACTATGGCGTTTTTGCTAATTCCTTGTACTACTCCTGTTTATTGGGTATGGTGACCCCGATGCCACGCAAATAACGAAAATTAAAGGGGAAAAAGAGCGATCTAAGCGAAATACTAAAATAATTTAGTCTTTGCGCTGCTGGCAGGCTGTTATGTTTAAACATTGTAAGGGATGAACTTGTTGAAAATAGAAAAATACGGTTAGCGCTAATTATTAAATTACGAAAATTAAAACCAAATGAGATAAATATAAAAAAAAAAGAAGAAATTATTTACTATTTAATCGCCCCTTCAGAAGGAGAATGGCTGTTTTTGTTACGAAAAATCATTGAACGATATGACTATTCTCATCGATAATTTTTATTATCAAGTGCAGTGTAATCTCGATGAACCTCATGAATCAATGCGAATGTGTTTAAATCATCGGAACATTTTATTGGAAACACTGTATCTTGCGCAACAAGTATTTAATAATAAAAGTATTTTTAGTAAAAGATTTTATTTGAATAGGTTTGCATTTTCAATGGTATACCTTTAAATGAACAATTAGCAATTAGACCGCATTCAACAGATGCGGTTGCCGATATCACTTATTTTTTCGTTTCGTTTGTTTCTTTTCTTCGTAATTCTGCCGATTAATGCGAATTATCGGGATTACATTGTATTCTTCAATCGTTGAAGTCAATCGAAAGAAATATAAATAGATAATAATGTTCGAGAGAAGCGTCTCTCCGATAATGCATGTTTCGAGGTTTCGTCTCTTACTGCGTCTATTCTTTCACTTGTATCATCTAAGGGTTATATCCTTGGACTTTACGAATTTCACAGTAGATCAGGAGACCATTCTCGTGCTTCTCGTGCTTAATTCTTCAGAAGACTGTTTTACTGGCTCATCGTTGGTCGAGTACTATCGAGTTTGTCTGACTTCCGTTTCCGCACTGTGCCAGGCTTAAATTACTAAACACAGAGGGAAAAAAAAGAGAGAAAAAAAAATAAAAAAATAGGGAGAAAATGAAATTTGATTTCACTCGACGTAGATCGTTCTCTTGTAATTCCGTAAGGGTTAGCTCGAGTGAGTTTAAAGCTTCATTTTCAGCAATGTTTTATACGTTTTTTATGATAAGAAAGTCAGCCAACAATCGAGTATTTTGTAGATAGAAAGAGGAACAACCTGTGCGAAGAACGATTCGACATTTTATGTAAGGAGGAGCAAGGATATTCTTTTTAGAAAGAGTGAATCACTATCGTAGGCAGCTTTTGAAACGTCTTGTAGACACGTCTCTGTTCTTCCTTACGTAAAGATCTACGAACTATTCGAGAGATGTCCGATTGAACACGAATAAAAGTAAAAAAGCAAGAAGTTAGCGAAGAAAGAAAAGATCCACATGTACAGTGACTCGCTTCGAATTTAGAGATATAAATCTACAATGGAACACGTACAGAACTGTGTATCAATGTTCGATTACGAAATTTTTTTAATGATCGCCTGTCCGATCGATTCGATTCCATGCATGCATATATTCCTTTACAATTTGTTGGAAGCATAATTTTATAATAAATAAATCATTATAATGAAACGAGACGATTGCTCAATCTTAATTTCACTAAACCCTTGCAGCATCCTTAAAGTTACCTCTTCTTACTTTACAAGAAATCGTACTTCAAAGTATTATAAATTTCCTTAAGAACTTTGATCGTGCTCTAGGGGAGAATTTTGCCAACTTGCGACATTCCGACGATTTCGTGCTAGGTTATTATTTGCGTAGATTGCCACTCGCGTAGGTTTTCGTCAGGCATCGAGAGTATTCCACTCGAGAGATCCTCGAAACTCCTTGAATTTTGCAAAACAAACAAAGTGGGTACATCAAGGTTGTCGGTATCCGGTTCGTATACAGGTTTCCTGTTATTTTATTCTCATGCTTGATCCTTGGAATTCCTTGAAGGGAGACAAGTAGATAGTATACATATAAAACACTTTCTATACAAGTGTATATGTATAGTAATAAAGAACATTCAAATATCATAACCAAAACATGTTGATTTTACATACTCAATTTCGTCATTCTGGTATAAACATCTGCCAAACTCCATCTTTATTTACATCCGCACCTTCATTCGGACATCTCGCGAATTGTTCGATGAAGCTGCAAGAAGATTTAATAAATTATCGATCGAGTAGACTACATGGTTGGATTAGAGAAGGATATTGTACTTTATGTCGGTTCGTTCGCCCCTTTTCGATTTAGCTGACCGCCAACGTGCCAGTGACTCCTAGCATTCAACAGGTATCTATACAATCGATGTGTGTTTGTGCTCCGTGCTATTCCCCATGGCGGCGTTGTGTAGGTATCAGTGATCTGCGCTTCCTTCGAAGAGACGCTTGCGCCGGTAAGGCAGACTCCCGGCGCTCCGTGGTTGTCCGTTATTAGTACGCCGCCGGCCGTCGAAGGTGGATGGTCTTTTGCTCGTAGTTTGGACGGTGCACTGCATTATTTTTGTTTACGTGATCGGTTTTTCTATGAAACTTAACTTCGAATCGATCGAATAACGCGTATTGCGCATCAACGTGCGTGTATGTTATTCGCGAAGTCGGCGACGAACGAGTCGCGACGATCGTTTCGATAGAATCTTCGATCTAATTCGGTGTTCGATGACTGTCGATACACGGTAAGTTCGTTAGACTAAGTTTGGTTATAATACGAGTGGCTTCTCGCGAGTCGGTATTTCGCGAAGTATACGTACAGCTTGCAGGCATTGTTCGTTAATTCGTCGCGATCGAAATTCGGTAAACGATACTGTGAAAGCGAACGACGAATTCGTCGGGCATAGAGACGGGAGAAATCATGTGACAGAGAAAGTGCGTCGTATTCGAGAATGTTAATCGAGACATGCTTTTCGGTGGTTTCGGCCTGTGACTTCTACGGGAATGGTACACATCGAATGACGGAAGCATGAAAGACGTTTCCTAGAAGAGAAATTGTGTCGTGTCTGCATGTGTACGTACGTATACAAATTCATCGATGCTTCTGGACCTTTGCCAAGCGATCTTTCGTAATATTCGAAGGCATTGGTAATGCGTAGTAGTCGTGTATGTCGTAAGTCATTTCTCCAACCGCGAATCTACCGCGTCAGGCGTGTTTTCTCTTTTTTCCGCCATTCGTGTTCCCGCGCTTCTATCCCCTCCCTCGTCCTATCTCTTTTTCGCGAATTGCTTATTAACCTATCTTTCCTCGCTGTTAGCATTCTTCTGTCACGAGTGCAAACAGGTTTGCGCATGCGTACAGGAGTCTATAGACGATTCGAAATGTTAGAAAATGACGTATCGGTTTGATGACAAATGATTGATTTTATTTTAAGCCTCAATTACATAGATAACGTAAAAAAAATGGTGGCTTTAAATGATACTTTGATCGATAAGATGCGTAATTCGAAGCGTTTCATAATTTCTCGGCCGTTATAACTTATCGTTCTCGGGCTTATGAGACAAATTATTTTTCTGATCTAACAACGGTTAATATACGACGGATTTGTTTTCATTACTGGTAGAGCTCTCTTTATCTGAAAATTAACTCGACTCACGGTTGAGGATTGATAATTTAATCCAACGTATAAAAGCCTTACAAGAAATATAATTCTCGCAGATAGAGGGGACGAGGATAAATTTTTCGAGTCCGGAAAATATTGTATACGGGAAGTAATTGCCTTAAAAGGTTCTCTTCGGTAAGACGCTTGTGAAATTCGAGACATAATCAAGTTGTGTAATGAAATGCAAGGAGACGTAACATATAGCTGCGTATTAAAACATCTTTCGTGAAAACATCGGCAAATATTTGCAGGGAGTTTCGATGTTCTAACATGAGCGTCTTATATACCGCATTCGCGATAACTGGGAAACCGATTCTCGTTAATTATCTCGGAGTTTAAAGAACGCGCGGAGAGACGCCGCGGGAAAAAGAAGTAATTCAAAAGTTCCGTGATTAATGGAGTAATTCGTTCCAAGTAAGAAGTTGTATTTCATTTCGCCTGATCTCGTTCTCCCGAAATAATCTCCGAGGAAGCGGAGAATTATGGAAATCGACGGGGAGGGCTGTGGTTGCTCTGAAAAAGTGCAATCTGACCGAAACCGCATAAAAATGGATCGTTTAATACGATTTTAAAGGAGACATTAACGTCGCTGAAAACTCGCGTTCGTTGTCGCGTACAATCGTTTATTCGACTAGTCGATTTCTTTCCCGATACTTCGTTTTCTTCGCGATGGTAAAATCGAGATAAAGAACGAGGAAAATTTCGAGTTTCTTCATTGATAAACGATACGTTATCGAGTCGGATAAATATCGATCTATAGATAATTTCGCGTATTCCAACGCCATGGACGCGTCTGACTAGGTCCATTCGCCGCGCTGTTCGACAAAGTCACTAGACAAAGCGCTAGGGAGCCCTAGGATGGTACCATTCCCGAAGGAGTAACCAGGATGTTTCGTTAGTTAGAGCAAACGAGAAGAAAGTAGGGAAGTGAAAACAAAAACGAAAGTGCGAACTGCAATGTGCAAGAAAAAAAGTGAGTGTGCTCCTGTAAGTAAGAAGAACGCAAGTGAAACTCGACAACGATGACGGAAGGCGGACCAAACATAAGCGTGAGTAACAGATAATTTCGCTTTACGCAATTTTATTGGTACTTCATGATACTAGCCATTCCACGCAATTACCTACATTACGAATATCCTCTTTCGTTATTTTCAACCACCGCTTCAATTTTCACCTCATTTATCCCTAGATTTTTCCTCCGTTCAAGCAGTCTTTTACGAATCCGGGTAAAAAATACAGCTTCCTTTTTTCTTATTTTCTTTTTCCAATCTTTTTCCAGTTTATGTATTCGAAAGGGGTCGATGAAATTCGTAAAATTAACGAAATTATAGATCTTATAGTGTTATAGATTTTATAGTCCAAGTTTGAACACGTCAAGCGAGGATCCGCGATCGATATTATTAGTTCGAGCATTCATGGCTATTGCATTTTAAATCTTATTTGGTTTAATACCCTCGCCTACAATATCGTGCGAGACTCGTGGTAGCTAATCGGGCCAAATACGAGTCTCACGGGCGAGAGACGTGATAAGGAAATAGGGTAACGAATAAGGAAAAGGACGTAGTTCGTGGATGGAATTCAATGTAAACATTAGGCTCGCGGTTAGTTTTCGTCCATGTCTTTCTGCCTCAGTGCCGTGTTATTCTTCGACGTGTTTAGACCAGATTGCTCGATGCGTGACCGACCTCGCCGTTGACTATGGCACGCCCCTTCGGAGTCTAAATGGTAAGGAAAATGGTTAATAATAAGAATTAAAATTATCACGATTGTGAAAACATTTCCTCAAATTTAATTTCAAATTTAAAAATTGCCTTATTTCCCGTGCCAGCTCTTAATGGGTTAGGTTAACTGGCTGACTAGATACCTGAAAATCCCTACTCGTCCGATTCGCTTCAAATTTGATCTAAATGCTCAGCAGACGCGCCTTTATCGTCGAACTACGGATATTAAGACGCGTTCTTACGTCACTCATCCTTCCTTTCGCCATTCCCTATTTTTGCCTTACCATTTGCAGAATTCTACTGACATTTTTCCTTTCCGCACATCACTCCTTTGTTAAGTCCCGGTTATAAGTTCTACCTCTTAAGTTCTTCTTTTTCTGGCTTTTCCCCTTTGTGCGTTTCCTCCTTCTTTTGTCGATCTCCTTTCTCGCGGTGTTTCTTCCCTAGATCCCCCCTCAGTCCTCCGCGTCTCCTTATCAGCGAACTCCGGTTTCCCTAGCCTCTCTATCTCCGGGTCCCGTACATCTTTCTTTTCCCTTAAAGTCGCCGGTTTTAAAAGCCTCGCTCGTATACGGCTTTCCACCCTCCGTTCCTCGCAGATATTCAAATTGAATAATTAAAAAACGAAGCGGGGAGGGTGCCGATTCATTTTTCAAGTCGCTCGTGGAACTAGCGGCCATTGTTGAGGAGTTTGCTACCCTCGAATGGCGCGCTGCCATTTTTATTGCTCCTTTCGTATCTGTATATCGATGGATTTTTGTATTTCTGTATTTTTATATTTTTATATTTCCATATTTCCATATTTTTGTATTTGTTTCGTTTTAATGGATTTTACATTATGCACTGGATAAACTTCGATGCATCGATCACTCCTGTTATCGTTACCTTCGAGTGGGTAGCATAGGCCAGTGATACGTACGTGATTCTGATACGCACGATTCGGTGATATTAATTTTACCGAATTTTACTATTTATTCTCCTGGAATTTGAATCGCCATGCTCGGCTATGGAATACAATTTGATCGTGTCCGCGTTGCATTTACACGTGGTAATTTGTAATATAAGCAACAGAAGAGCCAAAATGTCGGCCGATGTGCAGTGAAATACGTCTATTTTGTTAATATCAACGAACAACCTGTTTCGATACCCACGATCCCGTGAATAAATTTTATTAAATTTTACTAGCTATTCTCTTCGAGTTTAAATTGGTTTGTATGAATTATGGAATACGATTTAATTGCGTTCTCCTCGCTGCGTTAAAACCAAGGAACAACGTGTTACAGATTGGTTTCGAGAAGGTAAATATTATTGACATATTTCCTTTCTATTAAAATATCGTTAAATAATTCTCAATAAACGTGTTTTTCGTACGTGACCAATATTTGGTTTCGAAATTAATATGAATACGCGAGCGCGTTTCGTTCGAGTTGCGCGAAGGTACTGGAAAAATACTCGCTTATTTATTCCCATTTCTGCGATTTACACCTTGCCAGTGTTCCAATTAACGATATTCGAAAGGAAAATAAAGATGGGCAAAGGGAAATATACGATATCGGGCTTATTGCGCGACAACGGAAACCAACGTTTCCATTTAAGAATTTATGGGGATGAAGGGTGGCGTTTTAATCTTGGACGGGGATGAACGGTTTCAAAAGAGGGCCGGAGTGTCTCTCGACAGTTTCAATGATATTACACAGATCGTTATACACACTTTCATCCTGGACTTATGGCGTTGTTAAATTCGGAGCATGACTTCGGTAATTCCCCAGCGCTGGTCACTCGTTTATCTCGATACCGATTATCCGGATTTTTGTTTCATCTGGCAAATTAAAAACGCAACGATCACGCGGTACCTCTATTAGCTTTTAAATGCCCAACAGTCGATGATTCTTTCGATGAATAAAAAAATATTTCCTCTTTAACAATGCAACGGTAACACCTCGTTTATTGTTAGAATCGTCAAGGTTATCGCTTTCG